AGAGAGAGAGAGAGAGAGAGAGAGAGAGAGAGAGAGAGAGAGAGAGAGAGAGAGAGAGAGAGAGAGAGAGAGAGAGAGAGAGATATTTGCGGCTTACCCGCGACGCTTGGCGTGAGGGTGGCGAGCCAACGGGCGCAGCAGCTTGGCTGTTACCCATGAGTGAGCCCACGCGGCCTGCAGTGGTGGTTTCAAGCGGTACTGCCTCCAAAGCAACTTGCATGGCTTGTTGGAAGACCTCAAAAACTTTTCGGTTGGCAAAGGGGTTGGCTCGAAGGTAGCCACGACAGTCACCATAGTCAGCCACGAGCTGCTGAGCATCTTTTTCATTCACTTCCTGCAGTTGCCATCATATTGTTGCAGAGCGGCTGGCAGTTGAGCATAGCTGCAACAGCCACATGTGGCAAAGCCAGGGCAAAAAAAAGGCTGTACCATGAAACATGGTACACGGACCTGAGTGGTGGTTTCTAGCCCTTCAACGCCCACCAACAAGCACGGCAGATCTGCCAAGCGACGATGCTTGAGCATCTTGTGATGTACCTGCTCCAGGACTGTTCGATAAAAGAGCAAGTTAAACGGGAGGCCATAAAGAGACCACGAAACATTTGATGCTGAAGAATCATCTTCTTCGAATGGGCCCATATGTGCACGAGTAAGACGAACAAACCACGTACACTTGAAGCTGCTTGGGTTACTTGCGTCGAAAATCATCAAGAAGGCATCCGCCCAAAGAAGCACCTGCGTGACAATCGTTGGCACGTATTAATAAGCAATGTGTTGAAGAAAATTTGGTTTCCTTCCCACCCATGTGACCAAGAGGTCATTTGCAACTGCTGCGTCAAACCGAACGTTTTCTTCGGCAATGGGAGACTGACATCAGGATTAGCGTCATCGCATGAAATGCGAATGCGCATGTCCACCTCACGACCGTTCCACGGCACACGGATAAGGCGCCGAGGTCCCTCCTGTTGTTGCGGGCTCACCACCCCCGTCATCATTTCCAGTGGATTTTTGTCACGACTCGACGCTACATGCGGCATGAATGTACGTGCGTGAGCTTGCCTGACCAGTGTCAATGCCAAGAAAATGCATGTCATGTCTCAAGGGGACAGAGGCATGGCAAGTTACTGACCAAAGCCATCAGGAGAGCCAGTTTGAAAGGAGTTGATAAGCTGGATTTGCCCTGTCGTAAAAGGCAAAAGAGTGTCAAAATACCGAATGTCCCAGAGGGGACACAGGAAATATGGCATTGAGTGGTGAATCGAAGTCGATGGGTGCAAGAGGAAAGACCAGACAACAATCAGACTCATAAGCGATAGGAGAAAGCCTGAAGTGATATGGAGCTCCAGCAATCGCCTCACACCCCACGCGAGTGGGAACAAACCTGCATTGCTCTGGCCCAGAATGGCCTGGACACGTCGTTCCCCAAAAGGTTTCAATGCACGTTCCAGGCACGACACCATGATGCGTGAGCACGCTGCGCAGGCCTGACCCGAGCTCTCAACACGCAAACGGCCAGACGTACGATGCGCAAGATGGGGCGATCTGGCGTGGACAGATCCCAATTGCCATCGTCAAAAATGGCCTCTGCGAGTGCCATGAGGGCCACGGGAACGGCCAACAAGTGGATGAATGCGGATGCAGTCACGATCATGTCACGAGCTTCAAATACAGGTTGTCAATCTCGGCCAATGACGCGCAGCGCATATCCATACCTTCCAGATTGCCCAACTTCTCCATCAACCGGCTTGTGAGTTGCGACACTTAGAAGGCAGTATTGTATCAGATGCCGTCCGCATTCGAGCATCACAAGTGAGCCATTGCGGTGAGAAACGGACGTGCAGAAAGCGCAGCGCAAGGGTAAAAGCAGGCAAAAGCTTGCGTTGCGCACCAGGCAGAGCCTCAGCTTGGGTTTTCACTTCAGCTAAACATGCGCGCACGCTGGCCATCTGATTTGACGTCCAGATATTCCGCTTCGTTGAGGCCATGGTGCCGGTGGTCTCACTTTTTCTTGCTCGGGCGGCTGCACAGCCGCCGCTGGTCTTGCCCTGATCTTCGAGCACCACGAAAAAGCCAGCGTGGCAAGGAACACACGTGAATCACCTATTCGAATAACACCATATCATTACGAGCAGCACAGGTTCAGCACCAAGCCAGTACAGACCTAGATACGTTGAGCCCTGCTGCTGCCACAAGTGCCCGCCACCATGAACGACACAGTCACACGACGTTAACCCACAACACACACAGTCAGTCAGTCAGCCACACAAATTTGATTGAGACTGCGCAAAATTGATTGATTGCGAATGTCAGAGAGTTATTTTGAGAGAGAGAGAGAGAGAGAGAGAGAGAGAGAGAGTTTGAGAGAGAGAGAGAGTGTGTGTGTGTACATGTACTTTCAGAACAACGCTACGAAAACTATGATGGGGATGGATGGCGCTTGCACCGGGCTAATTTTGCTCACACTGGGTTTCGATTATGGCTCAAGGGTGGGAGCGATTGCAAACCAGTTTCAATGTTATGACTGTTGGCGGGAAAAGGCAACCTTTAGAATGCGGTCCGCAACACCGGGCAAGGGCATGTTGTTGGCTTTGACTACCGCGACCAATGCATCATGTTCCGTCGAAAACGTCAGCAGACCATGTTGGGTTGGTTTGCCCGCTACTCCAGCAGTGCAGCAGGAGCGAGTGGCATGAGGTTAAGTTTGCCAACCCTGTGCAACACACGTGGCTTGTCCCGTATATCAGACCCACCTTGCGTCAGATTGCGGATTGAGACGGGCGCGGGGGCTCCTCGCGCAGCCATGGCCTACAGACGAGTCAATGTGAGCCGAAACAACGCAGGAAGGGTTCAGTCACGCAGAGAGAGAGGGGAGGTGCAGTGCGCCGGTTACGCACGGCCAAAAGCGTTTCCAGGGATACGGCTTGGGGAACGTTGTGAAAGTGCAGCGTGTTGGACGGTGGGGTGCGACCGCCACGCTCATTGGGCTTGAATCGGCGAAGCTTGGCATCCTTAGATACGTCCACGCCCTGAGGCGAGCCATCCTCAAGCGTGCGTTTGCTCTGCACGCGCAGCTCCTCCTGCTTGCTCGTTCTAAAGCCAACGGGGAAAAGAGGTACAAAGCTGAGACAACGGAGGCAGAATATGGGGGCAAGAAGCCGTTGAACAAAACATGCATAGCGCACGCACGTGACATTCAACTGCGATCCCAACAGCTGCAGCTTTGAAACGTGTTGTGAAAATGCCTAATGCCAGGGTGAGTCCATCAAAATGAACAATTCGCACCATTCGTGACATCGCGGCAAACTTTACATACCTGTTGACCGGCCTCATCTTGAAATTGGATCAGGATGGTTCGTGAACTCGGGACCATCACGCATTTGTCAACGTTGCCGTAGACGCAGGCCAATGCGACGGCGTGGTGAACGTTCAGACCAGTGGGCCAATTGTGCAGCAAGACTGTTGTATGCTGAGGACCAACGCGCATCTCAGCAAGTGCCTGACCGTCCGTGCGCGTCACGATTGATGTCGTTGCACCGTTGACAGTAAAGTCACGAGCACTCGAGGTGTTGTTGCGAATCGACAACGTCTCATTCTGCCAAATGCACGATCAATGTACAAATAAGCGCTTAAGCTGGGCACTCCCAATGCGACTTTCACGACCAGCAGTGACTTGCAGGTGCACGCGTACTCACAGTCGAATAGTTGCAGCGAAAGATCCCAAGCTGCTCATGCAGATACACGTGCTGCATTTGGCCATCATCAACAACACGTTAGTTTTTGTGAGGTGCATGCACCAGCGCAGCGCGCGCAAAGTCAACAATCTTACCTGTAAGGCATTCAATGCCACCGTTGCCTCTGATTGTTGGGCATACTCTGCGAGCACCTATAGGCCACAAGTAACTCTCATGAGGGGTGGCTCAAATGTAGGGGATGACACATCAAGAAGGAAAGACGACCTCACCTGCATGTCACCATCCTTGCGGATCGTTACAATGCGCAGTACTTGGCCATAACGTGCCATCTGGGCATGCAAAAATTCCAGAGTTGGGTCAAAGGGGCAGTTGCAAATGTTAATCGAGAGGACCCGGGAAGGGGGGTTGGTCACTTCATTTGTTCCTGACATTTCACACCGGCGTAAGATGCAAAGAGACATGTGAGCGAGGTCCGAGGAGTATGGGCCTGCCGGCCCTTTCGAAAGACAGTGAGGTAAGCCAAATCAGCAAGCGCCACCATACGTGTCAGAGCAAGAGCGATATGATCATGACTGCTGAAGATGACGGTAGCACTGCGATTGAATTGCCGAAGCGACCCCTGTGGCAACAAGGTACAATGGTGAGTATGCTCAGCGGGCTGAATTGTGCCAAAGAGCGTGCACAGTGTCTTACCGATGCCACCAATGCCTCGGCAGAAGCTTGGCTCTACAAATCCCCGAGCGAGCGAGAGTGAGCACGGGCGTGTGGCCCCACTGACACACGGGAAGAATTCTGGGTACACACCATGTACTCCGCCAAAGCCTTCGTTTTATCCTTCAAAAAGGTCATGTGACTGCAAGGGGTCCCCGTCAGACCAGGGTGAGCTAAGAATTTGTATTTTTTGTTGAGATGATGGTGCGAGCTACGGGCTTGAGCCAGCATGAACACAACTTACCGAACAGGGCCGTAGTAGGAGAGCAAGGCAGCCAACTCTGTGCGAGACGACACCTCCAAATTACTCAAAAGAATCACAGGACTGGGCTCTCCGGGATCGGCCTGTGGGTAAGAGCGAGCGGGTTAGAACAGGTACTCGCAAGCTCGCTGCCAACTTCTCCACGTGGTGCTCGCGGGCCATCATACCTTGGCGGTCGTGCGTTTTTGTGAATCACGCCGCGACGAGTTACGCCGCACTCCAACCCCTTTGCTTGAAGCCTGTGCCTTCCCATGATTAGGCGTCCCCTTGCCCCGCTTTGAAGAGGCACCGCCCTTCTTGGCTGGGTGTGCCCCGACGGCCGCCTTGCCAGGTGTGTTCGTGCGCATTGTCAAAAGTTGTCGTTCCCTCCTGCCGCGTGTGAACAATTGTCAGACAAACACAACAATAGTATTTTACTTTTGTATCAACACCCACACCCGCGACAGGAGAGAACCGTGAACTGGAACTGCAAAGCGCCAACCTGGGGAGCGGGGTGGGTCGACCAGGAGGGGTGACGGTTAAAGGGGCGGTCTGGTCACTGTCTTGGCGTGCGCCTGGGGATAGGCAGGGATTGATGGGGCCCGGTTGGGCTTGATCCATTTGCAGTTTGATTGGCGTTAAAGAGACAGAGCCTCCCGCTCCACCGGAATGCCAGGTAGAAACCTGGACCACTGGAGTCTGGGTTGTTGATTGTGCCCTCGGTGGTCGTTTGCGTTGTTCCTGCGGATAGCTCGCCACGCGATGGATCAAGGGGAGCTTGATCGGCTTGCGGCCGATCCTACGGCCATGCGGGCTATATGTCGAATCCAAGCTTGGATCAAGGGTGTGTGAGAACAATGCGCTAGCCTTCATTCCTTATGCAAACCGTCAAATGCTTCACTGAAGCCGTTTCGCTCACCACGAATCTACACCTCACACGTCACGCAGGATGGCTTCAGCGGCAGGATTTCCTCTTTCAGCTTGAGTTTTTCGAGGAAAATGAAGACGCTATCCTCATCATTCAGGATGCCTGGCGTCGTATGTGAAAACTTGACTTTAACATAACTCGAGCGTGCTACCCGTGATGCGGCGCCTCGAGAACTAATGCAATGCGAATTGTGTAGGCTATAAGCAACGAAAACTTGCACGAGAGCAAGAGGAAGCCGAGCGAAACAAGAACAACGAAAATGGAAACACCAGTGGTAATGAAAAGGCAGCTGAAACCACGGTTGCGGAGCCTACAGAGGTAGCCGAAGATGTCGAAAGCGATGGCACACAAAGACGGGCGACGACAAACATGGATGGTGCGGGGGGTGAAGGCGCTAACGTGACAAATCATGAGGAGGCGGCGCGAGCGGAGGCTGCTCGTGCGGAGGCGGCACGTCAGGAGGCTGCGGCCACGCGCATCCAGGCGAGCTACCGCGGGTTCCAGGGCCGCAAGTCTGCGGCGACGCTTCGTGAGGCCAAGGCTGCTGAGGCGGCTGCTGCTGCTGAGGCGGCACGAGCGGAGGCTGCTCGTGCGGAGGCGGCACGTCAGGAGGCTGCGGCCACGCGCATCCAGGCGAGCTACCGCGGGTTCCAGGGCCGCAAGTCTGCGGCGACGCTTCGTGAGGCCAAGGCTGCTGAGGCGGCTGCTGCTGCTGAGGCGGCACGAGAGGAGGCTGCTCGTGCGGAGGCGGCACGTCAGGAGGCTGCGGCCACGCGCATCCAGGCGAGCTACCGCGGGTTCCAGGGCCGCAAGTCTGCGGCGACGCTTCGTGAGGCCAAGGCTGCTGAGGCGGCTGCTGCTGCTGAGGCGGCACGAGAGGAGGCTGCTCGTGCGGAGGCGGCACGTCAGGAGGCTGCGGCCACGCGCATCCAGGCGAGCTACCGCGGGTTCCAGGGCCGCAAGTCTGCGGCGACGCTTCGTGAGGCCAAGGCTGCTGAGGCGGCTGCTGCTGCTGAGGCGGCACGAGCGGAGGCTGCTCGTGCGGAGGCGGCACGTCAGGAGGCTGCGGCCACGCGCATCCAGGCGAGCTACCGCGGGTTCCAGGGCCGCAAGTCTGCGGCGACGCTTCGTGAGGCCAAGGCTGCTGAGGCGGCTGCTGCTGCTGAGGCGGCACGAGAGGAGGCTGCTCGTGCGGAGGCGGCACGTCAGGAGGCTGCGGCCACGCGCATCCAGGCGAGCTACCGCGGGTTCCAGGGCCGCAAGTCTGCGGCGACGCTTCGTGAGGCCAAGGCTGCTGAGGCGGCTGCTGCAGCTGAGGCGGCACGAGAGGAGGCTGCTCGTGCGGAGGCGGCACGTCAGGAGGCTGCGGCCACGCGCATCCAGGCGAGCTACCGCGGGCTCCAGGGCCGCAAGTCTGCGGCGACGCTTCGTGAGGCCAAGGCTGCTGAGGCGCGTGCTGCTGCCGTCCACGCGCCATTACAATCCCAGTTGGCGGATAACCCTACCCTGTCCTCTAGCACGACATTGTACACTGCCCATGACATTACTGGTTTTACCGTTGCTGAAGACTTTAATCATGATATGCGTCACATTATACAACTTCAAGCGGTTTGGCGTGGCTGTCTTCAACGGATGCGTTATCGTCGTCTCTTCGACTCGCCCGTTACGATTCAAGCCATTCGCGCGTATATGCATATCTTGAACGGCAACGCCGCCGAGTGCCAACTCGAGCTCGAGCTGAATGCCACAAAGCGTTTTGTAATGATCAAAGCTGACGAAATTACTGCCCTTGAGAAACAACTTGCTTTACTTGACTTGGAGATTGGACGCAAGGTTCGGACAGAGGAGGCTATATTGCATGATGTGCAAGTCAAAGGCCTCTTGCAGCCAACCCTCCCTGCCAACAAAGTCGATCTTCCTTCTGATTCGGTTCGTTTCGTCGTCATTTATTATTATGTGCGCCTGACCCCTGTCTACATGTTAATCTAAAATGAAATTTGTACATTGATAGGATGGTAGTGACAACCTCTTGCATTATCGCCAGCTGTTGTTCGTTTTGCTTCATCAACCTGCCATCTGGAATGGATTGGCTCGTGCACCTGACATCTCGGCTGGAGATCTCTTGCGCCTCTGCCGCCTTGTGTTCAATCAGGGGTCTGGTAATCACGAGCAGGCCTTGTTGCTTGGAGTTTGCGAGGTGGGTATTTCATGTGCGTTTGCAATTTGCACAATGTCCCTTCTTTGCATCTCTCAGTTCCGACATTCCCACCGTGCCTTGTTGTTTACTTTTTGCAGCATATTCTCGAGACGGAGATTTTCGACTTTCCTGCTAGACTGGAGGATGGCTTGGCACAACTTGGTGCCAACGCCAATGTCGCTTTCGCATGGCAGGCTGCGGGCAGTGCAAATGCCAGTCTTGGGGATTCAGATGATTTCGAAGAGATCCTGGTTCAGGAACTCGTTGTTTGGCTTGATAACATGCAGTCCCGTGCTGCTGCTCGGCTCAAGCACGAATCTCCTGCTGAGGAGCAAGCCAAGAATGTACCAGGCGAGGAGCGAGATGTCATTTCGCTCCTGGACGGCGACGAGATTCGGCAGGCAGAAGCAACCGTACAGCAGTTGGGTCTACCGTCTCTTGTCAGCAACTGGAGTGTCCCAGACGTTGGTCGTTGGTTGGAGCGTGATCGCTTCAAGGCTTACAGCAAACGGTTCGAGAGTAAAGAGATTGATGGGCGCAAGCTGTTGGCGCTGGACAGCGCTGCTCTGCTTGATCTTGGGCTTCTTTCGACCTCAGCTCGGCGACTGGCCGAGCAAATCGCGTTATTGCGTGCCATTAACGAAAAGGCCGAACTGGCACACGCAGGCCCCACTTCAACGGGAGCTCTGGTGAAAACCGATGGCGTTTCCCTTGAAGCACCACGATATGGGTGCAGCGGCGACCCGCATGATTGGACCCTGACGCAAGTTCTGACATGGCTCAAGCGAGCAGGACACGATGATGCAGTTTCAGCTTTTGTTCAGGCCGAGGTGTCTGGTGCAAATCTTTCCAGCTTGGACGCCGCTGCTTTGAAAATGCTTGGCGTGCATGACCCAAACCGATTGGAGATGGACATTAACGCGCTCTTCAGCTCGACTGTCGAGGCTGGGCTGTCTGCATCGAGTGCCGACGATTTGCCCGAAGAATTGCATTTGGCATTTGGTCTGCTTCGCACACTGTGGTCTCGACGCCGCAACTTGCGCTTTGGGGTTTGCTATTTGACGGGTGTTTTGAACAAGAGTTTGCAGCGGCGCTATCCACAAGTAGCGCGCCTGGAGATTCTACGCGCTGCAGGACTAGGGTTTTATTACCAGTATCTGCGCCATGCTATGCAAGCGGCTTTGCGCCGGACATTGGATAAGGCTGAATTGCCTTCAGCTGAATATGATCTTGTCACGCAAACGGCAGCCCGTTCGTTCGAACTTGTGCGCTTGGCGTTCCTCGGTGAACGCTCCTTTCGCACCGCTTCTGTTGGCTTGCAGGCGGATCGTCGCTTGTATGACCGTTTCTTTCTTCAAGCAACTAGTCAATTGCTGGACTTGACAAAGCACATGACGCTTACAGCGTCACTCGAGGAATATTTCGGGCTCGACGAATTCTCCTCATTCGAATCGGCGGGCTCCTCAACGGTGTACATGAGTTTGGTGGATCTCTTTCGCTTGCACGAGCTTCTTATCTCCAATTATGACAGCTTTCCTGCTCGCTGTCGCGAATTATTGCGACCACTTTTGGGCGCGTTTGAACCGCGAGCACGCAAAGCCTTACCGGGCATGCATCTTGTACCAGACTTTGTGTCTGAGGCGACCGTCGACATTGAGCTCTCGAAGCATTTCCTGGCGCGCTGGCAGGTCGAAGATGTGTCCAGCTGGCTTGAGGATTTGCAACTGAATCAGTACATCTTGCCCTTTGCCACACACTTGGTGAATGGCAAGACCCTGCTCAAGGTTAAGAAAGCGGCCGACTTTTCAAAATACGGTGTGGTGGATTACAAGGACTCAATGGTGCTTTTTCGGAATCTTCGCCACCTGCGACTTCGTCTTGCGGCAGCAGCTGCGGTGGAACAGCCGGATCGAGCAACCGCTTCGCGTAGCGGTCTTGCCAGCGTTTTTTCGCCCTGGCGACGATCGCAGACACCGCCTAGTGCCCCTGAAGGCATCAAGGGCTGGTCGGCTCAAGAATGCGTGGTGTGGCTGACCAAAATTGGCTTTGAGCGCTACGAGTCACTTTTTCAAGACCAAAAAGTCACGGGCAAGGTTCTTGATGCCATGGAGGATGGTTCTGGATTTGAGCGCTTGGGTGTTCGCAATGTTAAGGACTGCATGGCCATGTTTCGTCACCTCAACGCGGCCAAGGTTCACGCGGGTGAAGCAGCTCTGCCAGCAGCAGCCCTCAACTCGTCAAGCCGACGGGAAAGCGCAAGTAGCATCGCAAGCAGCGTAGCTGGCAGCGATAGTCCGTTAACTGCACGCCGCCGACAGCGTCGGGGACCCAAGGACTTTTACGTACCTTGTGCGGACGACTTTGGACGTGATGCCCGTGATTTGTCTCGTCCGTTAGCGCTGGATGTGGTGCGGTCTTCAGCCGCTGATGTGCTGGATACACGTGCCACCTCCGAGCGCCTTGACCACGAGGCATTGTTGGCCAAGACGAAGAAAATGGTGGTCGACTTGCTGCGCCAATCAGAGGCTACCAGTATTCCCGAACTATTGACTGAGCGAGTGACACCGGTACAGGAGGCGGGGCATCGTCAATTCACGGCACGTCAACAAAGTCAACCTGGTCTCAACGACAAGGCGCGTACGCGCGCGCTCTCCATTGTCGGAACTTCCCTCAAGAAGCTGCAAAGTATGGCAACCAACAACTTGGAAACGTTGAGTAGCGCTGGGTTGGTACAAGCTTCAAACAACTACCAAGACGTGCTGGACGGTATTGCCAAGGATATTCGTTTTCATGCGCACGAACTACGGGCGCGACCACGTGAGCTGCGAAAATTGCGGGAGGCTAAGGCACGCATGGAAGTGCGACTGGCCGAGTTGCAGGAGCGCATCGAGAGCTATCGAGCCATCGCCAAGACGCTCTCTGCCACCGGTGGACCGCCTACCAGTGCTGGCTCCAGTGCCGGTCGACCTGGCGCTGTGGGGCCCAGCACGCATAGCCTTCCCAACACAGCCGGTGTGAAAACTGCCAAGGCACGAAAAATTGGCACACAGTTTGGTACACACACATTCTCGGGTGCCAAACTGAAGCAGAAAAAAGTTTTCCACTGCTTGACGGCTTCAGCCAGTGTGACACTGAAAGAAGTGCACTTGGAGGCCTCCTCTTATCAGCAAGGCGAATTGCGGCTAGCAGCTCGTCTGTCCGCGTCTCGATGGAGCCGCGTCACGACGTCGTTGGCCGAGCTGCGCACGCGAGCACTCTCCGGAGTCTTGCTATACAGTGACCTCGACGGCATCGAACTCAACTTGACCCCCTTGATCTCCATGATTGAAAAAGTATTGCCGACGGCCTGATCATATCACGAGCCTGCCTCTTGTTGTCTCACGTCATACAAGTTTTTTTGTTTCTATTTTTTTTTTCTGATTCTTGTTTGTTCGTTCTTTCCTACCGACACGTTCTTACACATTCAATTAGGCGATGTTCTTTAGGTGTGTGGTGATGTTAATAAAAATATGATCATAGGAGCGGGAGTGATTGACAAATCGATCTGAATGGTCACCTGCGACTCTCTGGGTTTGTGGGCAGAAGTTGCTACTGACGCTATCCTGCGTGGATTTGTTCGGCTGCTTATTCTTTAAGCATGAGAATTGGGAAAAGCAGCAGCCACGTCGTAACGCTTCTGTGGTGAACTGGTTCTTGAGGGGTCGCCCAGGTCGGGCTACCAGTACTAGGTGTCGACCAGAAGGTCGACTCTTCCTCCATGCGCCATTCCTCGACCCGGGCCTCCGCCTCCGCCATCATAGCGTTCCAGTCAAGAGAGGCGTGCCTGCAGTAAAGGAACAAGGAACCTCGACATAGTAAAGTGACCCCTTGTAGTTGTAAGCTGATGTGTTCCGTTACAATCCTACATGGGAGCGTGTGTGAAAGTTGTTACACTTTGAACAATGACCGTTAACGGCCGTACACACACACACACACACACACGTTTGTTTTGGCGGCAGCGCCGTTTTTTACCGCCACACACATTTTGCGCGCGCGCGCCGAACGGGCAAAGGGTAGATAAAAAGCATTTGAAGTCGCCATCGGAGGGCAGCTTGGTGCACAAAGTGGAGCCCGGTTGCTTCTTGATTTGCGATTGCATTGGGGGGGCTCGACCGCTAGGCCAGCTCGCCTGGACGTTTTAAGCTGCCGTTGCACTTTGGTGCAATCAAAAAGTCGTGGCTACTCTACTACTCCGCATTCGTGATAGAAGAGGGTCGCAGGTATGCCTCAGCGGCTGCCTCGGGGGCTGAATAGCCCTGGCGGTTACCCCCAGCTGGGCAACCCGACACTCCGTGCTTTCACGGTACGTTTGCCTTTTATCATATTGCCTTCCTCTCAATCTCCGGGCCCTTGCTGGTGGAGGGCCCTTTGTGAGCTCATCGGAAGTCATGTTGTGGATACAAATAGCACAAGAAGCATGGACGCAACTTTGGGGCCACGCGTCCCCAGCTTGATGTGCGGCGCATCGCTCGAAAAAGTACTGAATTTGGCTTTTCCACGGATGACAACATACCACCCAGCTCGACCACCCCGACCTCCACGTCGCGGCCTGCCCAGCTCAAACTTCAACAGAAAGCCGCCTCTCGCTCACCCGTCTCAGTCACTCAGAGTCGGTTGCAGAACCCAACCATACAGTCGCCCCAGATTTCGCGAGCAAGTCACAAGCACGCTTCCCCGGATGCCCTCGCCAAGTCCAGCGAGCGGCCTGCCTCCGGTAGCGTTTTGATGCGCAAGCTCAAAGTTGTTGAGGAAGTGCAAGAGCAGCAGCACAAGCTCACTTTAGAAAACCACGCCAAGGCCATCTCGACGCTGCATCGCACTACAGCGGCATCACCAACCCGATCACCGAATGTCGTCGATAGTCTACTCCGTCATGGTTCTTCCGCCCAAGCGCGCAACGCCGCTTCTCAGGCCAAGCTTGCTACCCCCCCGGCAATTTCTTTCACCGATAGCGAGGGGGATGCTCATCGGCCTTGGCTTCCACAAAGCAAACGGGCCAAGTGGAGCAGCTCCAACCTTCCACGCAAGGCGTCATCCAGTGGCGGCGCGTCTGAGGGCAGTGTCGCCAGCGTGTCCTTTGAAGGCTTTCGCAATGTTGGCAATACCTGCTACTTGAATGCAGTGCTCCAATCCTTGCTGGCCGTGCACTGCTTCGTGGATGATCTTCGCGAATTTGCCACGCCTGAGCGCTTCGCTCATTCACCAACTGCCCCAGCACAGCCAAGCACCGTCACCTGGTTCGTTGAATATCTGCAGTCATCCTTTCGCGACCTCTCAACCTGACCTGGGGCGTTGCGCATGACGCTGATTCACTCTCTGCTTGTGTTCTGTAGTGCGCTACAAAAGCTCATCAAGCAAATTGATCAACGCGAGGTAAGACGATCAAGGCCGAAGCTGGGGGAGCGTGTTTTTTTCAGTTGTGCTTTCAAAGCGTGGAAAGGGGGTTTGTCACTCGTGCTTCGTCTCACCCATCTCTCACCTACAATTGTGCCCGCGCAGAAGAAACAACTGGCACCGATCGATCCTTCAGCCATCAAGCACTGCTTGGCGCAAACTGCGACTGCCTTTGAGGGCTGGGGCCAGCAGGATGCCCATGAATTCTTATCGTTCTTATTGGACCGCCTACTTGCCGAGACTGAGGATGAGGACACTTCTGAGCCCGGCAGTCCTGCATCGGCCGCGAGTACTACGTCCTTAGCGGAAGCTAAATTAGCGCCACGATCACCCTCTCCCATCAATGGTCTTGGCATCATTCCCAGCAACTTTGGCGGCGAACTGCTCCACCAGCGTGCCTGCACCGGGTGCAAGGTAAGCTTGAGAGTGACAAAGAGGAACGGAGGGATGGCGAGAAAGCAAAGCAACTGCACGCACACCCGCACAAAAATACGCACGCGCACCCACGCACGCCCATGAGAAAAGAAAGAATCTGTCCATAGCTCCGTGAGCGCCACTGTGCAGGTGTCGCGCTTGATTCTCCTGATAGAAACATTAAGTCTCAGCAATGCACCAATTCACCCACATATGCGTCCCACCTCAGCGCTCTAGTTCATGGTCAGAAGCTTTTCTCGTGCTAAGTTTGGAGCTGCCTTCGTCGAATGATCCCTCTGCTACACCGCCCACGCTCCAGAAATTGCTCGCAACTTCTCTTGCGGTAGGATTACTCCTTTTTACATGTCTGACCTCTGCTAGAACAGGTGCCAAATGCGCACGCCGGATCGCTGATGACCATATCCTGTCTGTATGCCTGTTGCTTGTTGGTAGCCGGAGGATGTGGAATACAAATGCGAGTCCTGCGACTGCACCACTTCAAGACTCACCCACAGGTGAACATCGGGTTTATCACGCACCCAAGCATGGTCAGGTTTTGTTAGGCATCACATTCACTGGCCTGGACATTTCTGTCGTGCTTGAAACTGCAGGCTGTCACGCCTACCGCGATGCTTGATACTGCATGTCAAGCGCTTTACTTATGACCTGCAATGGCATTCGCGACGCAAGCTACATCAACCTATACGCTTGGAACGCTCACTCCAAACTTGTGCGTGACACCCTTGGCTTGTGTTTACCGTGTGAGACGTCTCTCCAAGTTCTCATCGCTTCTGCCACGTCGCAACCTTTTTTTATGTATGTGTGTATGTATGTATGTATGCTCGAGTAGCCCACGTACTCGCACGGCGCATTAAAGGTCCAGTGCCAGTGGCCAGCGCTAAGAGCGCCGCTTTGCCAGACCATCCGTTAAAGCGCGTACTCTTCCAATCCACAGACGAGGTGAGTTTGTGAAGCTGGCGAGACCCATGGACTTGACCCATTTTTTTTTTCTTTATTCAATTTAACGGCATGCAAATGCGTCCAGGCCTCCGATGAGGGTCAGTGGCTGGAAGAAGCCTCTACGTCCGAGACCGGCATTGACTGTAGGTTCCCATAGCTCAGTGCTTTGGCCTGTTAGTTCTTTGGGCTTCTCATCGTCGCTTCCACGAGCAGGTGCAGTCACACCGTCGTCGGGTTCAGAACTGCATGCTGCCAGCAAGTACCGCATCGTTGCAGTTACGCGCCATCATGGGACCACAGAGGGTGGCCACTACATTGCTGATGTTCTTGACAGAGAGCACGGCTGGCGAGTGTTTGACGACAGTCGTGTCACCAAGGTAAAATTAGAAGCACGATCTTGGCTGACAAGCTTTGCAAACGCAAACCACGTTCTCACGACGCTGCCCCCCCGGTCCTCTTTTACAGTCTGACTGGGGCTCCGTGCGGAGGGCCAACGAACGCGATGGCTATCTGTATTTCTATGTCCACGATAGCTGCAGTGCACCACACCCCGCACAAGCCAACGCCCACCCTTGAGTGGTTTGCTGTTCCTCTGTACCTCCGTCATCCGAAGGTGTTAGCAAGTATTATTACGTGATTGAGAATATACCTCGGCACAAATAAACTTAATTGAATAGACGAATCAATTGCTGACAGAGGAAGGAGTCGGACATCGTGTTGCAAGGTGGAAACGAGAACAGGCGGTCTTTTCGAGGCGAACAAACCAAGGGAAGTCAAGAAAAAGCTAAACAAAAAATTTGCAGGAGGGAAAAGAAGCTTGCATGGCTTACAGCAGATGTTGGGTTTTACGGTCGACGAGATCGAGACGATCATCGTGGCCCCCGACCTGACCGCAAGGATAAATCAAGGTGACGGGGTCGTCAGCAATGATCTTGTGCTGCGTATGATGCTGCACCAACTCATTGAGGCTGGGGAACAGGCGCTTGTTGCCAATCAACTGCAAAGGCAAGAATTATGAGTGGACCACAAATAACAGCAAGCAGGGGGATAACGAGGCACTTTTGATTTTTTGGGCGGTTCGAGACGATGCTCGGTTCTCAGCATTAACGGGGTCGGGGACACACCTGGTATTGGCCATTCGGAGTTTGATCGATCATATAATGCTTGATGCGACCACCACCGCGCACCATGTGGGATAGTGAGTAGCCAAATCGGCTCTCGGACACACGCACCAAGAAGGTACCCGGCTTGCTACCCTGGAGCAAAGCTTCAGCATCCTTGCGCGTGATAACGCCATGAAACCACTCTTCGAACTTGCCCGCCGTGGAGATACCGGAACCTTCGCCACGAAGAGCGGGCGGTGGCAGTGAGGTGGAGGGTGTGGGAGCAGCAAGCAGCTGGCATTACGTCCACTCACCCTTTTTCATCTCAACCTCTTTGAACCACTTGACGGATTGTGCACGAGTGAACCCCTTTTTGTTCTACAAAGAGCCGCCGATCAGTACATGCAGGAAGTTGCACAAAAGCACAATGTCATGCGAGCGTGTATGGCACAACTTACTGCTTGCTTGGCAATCTTTGCCGTGGTCTTGTCCGCAAACTGGGGTGCTGGTTCGGCCTTCTTGACGAAGAAATCAGCCGGGCGCTGGTTATCCTCGTCCAACAAGGCCTGCATGACAGTCACTGTCTCATTGCCGCTGAATGGGGAGTCATTAAAAAAGCAAACGAGCATGACAGACCGATTGAGTATTGAGCAGGTAGAGGCATTGCAGAGGAACTTGGGCTCAGCGCTGCCAAAGCATACCGGGACTCAATGTAACGCATAAAATCAGCCCCCTGCTTGCGGAACGCTTCGGCCTGGTCGAGAAGTTTGCGAAGGCGACGACGAGCCAGGTAACCACGCGCCATCTTGCTCAGCGTAGTAGCTGCCTGTTGCGTTGCACCGGTAACCATGGGCAAAACCATTTGTTTGAGGATCATGGCGGTGCCGACTCAAGCCCACACGAACAATGAACGACAACCGCTACGCACGGCTGGAAAGGGTTTGAACTTTTCATTCAGCTCATCCATGTGGAAGTATCGCAAGAACACCTTTGTTTTGCCCACTTGCCAACCCTTGCAGCCGGCCACGTCCAACACCTTGCCGCAGGAGACCTCATTGACAGGCGGGTTTACGCCAAAGGGGAAGCCCAGCATCTTGAAGCGATTCAAAAAGTCGCCAAAGGTGGGGCGGAAGGCATAACCTTCTTTGCGAATGCGTGTGGTCTCCAGCATACCTGAGCGATGCCTCGGTGAGTCGGCTTGGCGCTGGCATTTGAACCAGGAGGCAGAAGGGGTACGTGCGCGCGAACATACCGGTGTAGCGCAGCTGGTCAGTGACCATATCGTTCTGGAAGATGGCGGGTTTCTTGGCGTGATTTGGCTTGATGCAGCGCACAAAGTGAGGCGAGGCCTTGGACATTTCATCCATCAAGCTCACGAGAGACTCCTTGAATTCCAAGCCAACGGTCTTCTTGTTGCTCTTGGCGGCTTGTTTGGCGGCCTTCTTCATGGACATGCGAAGAGATTTACGTGCATTGGCAACGTCGCGCTTGGCCTTGCCCTTCTTGGCCGCCTTGGCATCGTCTGCGTCACCGTCGAAGAGAGATCGGACCAGATTATTGTCCGACAAACGGAGCGCACCCACGACGTCAATGGGCAGCGTGTCACGGTTCTTGTCCAAAAAGCCGTCTGAAGAGTACTCCACCTATGGGCAAGAGCCACCCCCAACAAGCAGCAAGCTCAAAATTAAACAGCGGAGGGGAACAAGCGGAGCGGATGCATGCGGTACACGAACATACCTTGCCAGCATAATGGTGGATGGTAAACTTGAGATCATTACCGCGGGGGCGGGTGTAGCCCTTGTTACTACCCAATTCAGCGTGAAACTTTTCGGTCATCGAAACATCACTGCCCTTGGGCATCTTTGCTTCTTCATCGCAGAGGGAAAGCAGGCCAGCAGGCTTGGCCATGATCATCTGCAAGAGCTCTTCGTTATCCTCGTAGTCAATCTGCGAGCCATCAATGCCCTCCTTGGCGTACTCATCCAACTCCATCTTGAAGATAAAGTTGTTGAAAAACTGCTGCAAGCGTTCGTTGGCTGGGGACAACAAACGAGGAATTAAAGCACACATACACTTGCGCATTCGCATCCCCACTAACATATATCCATACACGGCGAACATAGAATACGCAGCAAGAAGAAGAAGAAGAAAAAAAAAAAACAAAAAAACAGGCAAACAAGGGCTTCAAGCGCTTGCTTTGATGGAAACTAGGTCAGATTGACAAGCCATGTACCCAGTGACAGCTTACCCAGGTTGATAAGTAGCTGCTCAAAGCTATTTAGATCAAAGCACTCAAAACCAAAAATATCCAAGATGCCAATGTCCTTGTCCGTCAGGGCCTTGGACTTGCGCTTGGGGCCGAGCAACTGGTTGACACGACGAACAATCCAACTGTGTTTCATCACCAATCACCAGGGGCGGGGTAAGTCAAACGTGACGCACGGAGAGGTTGCAAACTTGGCGCGCACAGAGTTCAAAAGCACAAGCAGGACAAGAGAACGGCAGGGCCATGTTTCAGCGGTGCATGCCAGCGGCATGACAAATTTACAAACCGGAACGTCTTGCCGTAGAGGGCCTTGGACATGGCGTCACGGGCCCCCTCCGCTTCAAAGGGTTTGTACTTGCGCTCGACCTTTTCGCCTGTTTGATTGCGTCCAGGTATTGAGCAGATCAAATTTCAAAGAAGCTTGTTCCTTGTGTTTCTTCTTTCTTTCACTCTCATCCATTCTCTCTCTCTCTCTCTCTCTCTCTCTCTCTCTCTCTCTCTCTCTCTCTCTCTCTCTCTCTCTCTCTCTCTCTCTCTCTCTCTCTCTCTCTCTCTCTCTCTCTCTCTCTCTCTCAAAAGGCGAGAGCTTTGTACAGGGGCACAAACGTGACGAACGCCTTACCACGCATGATGTTGATCGAGCAGGTCAACGCTTCCGTCAGCGCGTCTTGCACAATGCCAAGCTGGGTACAGGCCTTGTTCATCACGTCATCGGCCGATACAACGTAGGCCTCGTCTTCACCTGAGAGCCAGGGAGTCGGGCAAAGGGAAATTGTCGGTTCAGGATGTCACAGGTCAAGCAGGCGCGGCGCGCTTTCAGGTCTCTTACCGGCAAACTCAATGTCACCAGTCAAGAGGACGCCGGCCAAGATGGCCCACATGTCGTTTTTCTCCTGCAAATAGCGGAATGCAGCGCATGGGCAAAGGGTAGTTTCGTGACCTTGGCGTCTGAACGCGAGGTGGGATGGTTGATACCGCGCGCAGTCCACGGTGCATTGCCGAGAAGAAAGCAGAAAGCTCAACATACCTCCGTGGTAAAACCGACATCCTCGATGCAGTCAGCCAGCTCCTTGTACAACGCCTTCATCTGTGGGGACTTGATTTCAGCAATGGCTTCATTGTTGCCATTCAGGTACCTGCCATCGCAGATATGTGGGTTAGCAAATAAACGGGCTTCTTTCCTCATCACCTAGCCTAGTCGCCTTTGGTGACCAAGGGCACAGAACACAACAACTGACGCATGTTCAGCCGCATCGACCAGATTGTATTTCTCAAGCTCGTCCGGGTTCATGCCGGCAAACATGAGGTAGAAGACGTGAAAGTTGCGTTCGCCCTCGCCCTATGCATAAGGTCATGGTAAGTAAGATAATCACGCTTGCGATGACCAGGCTCTGGGGCATGAGCAACATGCATCAACGGCGACGAGGAGACTGTTTTTTCCCCTTCGTTGCTCGTGTCACTCTTATAGACAATAAAATGGCGAGTTTGGGGCAAGTTCAGTACCTGGCTGACAACGCGGCTCTTCTCTAGAAGGTAGTCGGCCATGACGGCACCCTGGATCTGGTGTTGATCGTTGAAGCGAAGTTGTACAAACTTTCCAAAGCGGGACGAGTTGTCATTGCGCAGGGTAGCGGCGTTACCCCATGCTTCGAGGAGGGGGTTCAGCTGAATGATCTTCTCCTCCAAACCACCTAATGGTCAAAAGATGGTCCAGGATCATGCGTGTGAGGGGTGGCTGCTGCGATGAGCACGAGACAATGGTGGGTTAAGCGGGCCGAGGCAACACGCGCAGCCAACCGGCAGTGTCACCCGCCACAAGTGAGCTGAGGTAGATGACATGCTTCATGAACAGTTTGGCCGATTCCGTCTTGCCGGCACCCGACTCGCCCGAGATGACGGCGACCTAGCGGCAGGAAATTGAATCGATTCGTGGTTAGCGCTGGACAACACTTTGGGCGCATCACGATAGATGTCAAGGCGGGGGGGGAATGATAATTTCAGGCCGTTGGTACCCACCTGGTTGGCCGCTTCACCCGTATTGTTGATCATGGCAGAGAAGGCAGCATCGGCGACGGCGAAGATGTGCGGAGGGGCCACGCTGCGATCACCGAGATCCTTGTAGATGGCCGCCTTGGCATCGCTGTAGATGCCATCAATCGTCTTAAAAGGGTTGACAGCGACCAGAATTTCACCTAGGAGCAATTGTGTGACAATGAACCGAAACGTCTCAGGCTGTTTGAGGCGAGGTTGAAGTCGGGCATTCTTGAGGGAGGGACACGAGGGCGTGCGCGCAGTGTATTACATACCAACATAGGTGTAGATTTGATCGCGATCGTAGCGAGCCTTGAGCTCATTAAGCAGAGTTTCCTCGTTGAGGTTCTCTAACTCGGTCAAGTTATCCGTTTGGCCAGCCTAGATGCCATGCCAGCGACACCAGGAGCCGAGGGTGAGACAAGTGACGATGTGAAACAAGGCGTGCAATCGATCCCCCGTTGTAATTTGGCTGTGTGTGGTGATGGGATCTCGAGAGCCAAGAAAGTCTGTGGACCGTGGAGAGATGTGGAGGCCGCAAGCAGACGCGAGAACATCAAGTTGATGGGGCACATGAGCCGATCGAGGTCGACCAAGACGGCAGGTGCGTCAAAGGGGGCGTGTCCCCCTCTGCGATGACGACGGCATGTCTGCTTGTGGTTCAAGTCCGACGCGAAGACGATCTCGGCCACAAAGAGTATTTGCAGACAAAGGAGGATCGGCTTCATCGCCCCAACTGCTGCTTCCCACGCCAACACACGAGATTCACTGGCACTGCCCTTTTCAATGCGAATGAGTCGTGACACACCCACACCGATACGCACCATGTTGCCGTTCCACTGCTCCACAACAAATTCCAAGCTTGAGTAACTTGAAAAGAGTGGGAAACGGAGCAAAGGGGAGAGAGAGTTTGAGAGAGAGTTTGAGAGAGAGAGAGAGTTTGAGAGAGAGAGAGAGTTTGAGAGAGAGAGAGAGTTTGAGAGAGAGAGAGAGAGTTGAGAGAGAGAGAGAGAGTTACAGTTTGAGAGAGTTACAGTTTGAGAGAGTTTGAGTTACAGTTTGAGAGAGTTTGAGAGAGAGTTTGAGAGTTGAGAGAGAGAGAGAGAGTTACAGTTTGAGAGAGTTTGAGAGTTGAGAGAGAGAGAGAGAGTTACAGTTTGAGAGAGTTTGAGAGAGAGTTTGAGAGTTGAGAGAGAGAGTTAAAGTTTGAGAGTTTGACAATGTGTTGGGTTGGAGGAGTTGGTGAAAAGTGTAATATCGGTTAGACATGATGGTGCATGAATGTCAGACTTGTAAGATGGCGATGGCACGAAGTGTGAAAAGCTCAAACAGATGTCGCCGGGCCTGCGGCTGTCGTTGTTTCTGCTATTGCCGTGGCAGCGGATGGCGGTACATCCGCGTGTGAAGTCGTCGGTACAGAGCTCAAGTCTCGCACAGCGAGAATGGCGATATTTCGCGGAGATAATGCACCGTCGAAAAGGGGAACGAGCTGCACTTCCGAAGCAGGCGGGAGCTGCTCGCGCAAGAAGAGGGCGCGATCGAGCAAAATCATGCTTTCCAAGACTTGCGCCACCAAATGACGCAATGCTGAGAAGCCAATGACCACCTAGGGCGTGTTTGTCGAAATGAAACAGGCGCGTGCCAAAAAATGCCGGCTCTTGGAATTACAGGCTGTCAGCGGGAACACAAACCGTATGGAGATGTGCGAATTCGGCGTGGATGGCCTGCAATTGCGTGTCCGAGACGACGGAGCCGTCCAGCTTCAGGCGCTGCAACACAGCGCGAGTAAAAATGATAAAATCTGCTGCAGAATCTCCAATGGACGGCTTCTCGTGTTGTTTCAATCGCATTCTTCCCACCCCAATTGTTGTGGCGCTACCACACCCAACCAGCACCCACCACCGAACCAAAATTGATCCGGCAAGTGGGCAAGCAAAAAACCATGGGTCAGTCATGTACGAGCCATCGGGTAGAACGCAACAGCAGCCATCCGGCCCATGTACGAGCTATCGGGTAGAACACAACAGTAGCCGTTCGGCCCATAGGAAGAACAAACCTCGCCCCCGCCCCTCCGCCCCAAGAAAACAACAACAACAGAACAACAAGAATGACAACAACAAAGCAACCCCAAGGAATGGGACCAACTTGACATGCGGGAAGTGACGCGTCAATACGACTTGAAGAAGTGCCCGATTAGTGTGGCTGCACAGATCTGTGGCAGGGCGCGCCACCCACGTCTCGACCGCATGACACGCCATTTCGCAGGCCTAGAGGAGAGCACCATGGCCGGGCCATGAGCATGTCATGAGGAGAAGTCACAGGTTTTGTTGCAGGTGCTGTAACATGTAGAGACACGTCCAGATACTGCGTGGCTTACATGCGGTGAGATAGAGGCCCCCCGGTCCAGATAAAAACGGCTCATCGGAAAGACGTAGGGTGGTGTTGTTCCGCCATCTTCGCTCCCCAAGCTTTGCGGATCAAGCGCCACGTGGGTCTTGGGGCGACTTGACTCACGGACTGCCTCCTGAGCAGGAAGAGGGTCTACACTGCCAAAGTCGCCACTCGGTAGGAGAGAGGTCGTCAATTTGTGGTAGCAACACCCCAAGCTAAGCAGGGCTCGTGCCTCCGAGGCAGCAAAAATACGCAATAGATTGCAGTGCAAATCTCCGCAGGTATGAAGCCCGGTGATCATGGCATTGGACACGTTGGGCAGATCGTTGATATCCTGTTGAGAAGGCACCCCGTTGTGAGTGGCGCAAGCTTGCCAGCAACTGGGCAGGGGGAGGGGGTTGCGCAGAAGCTGGTCCGAATCGGGGTACCTGGGCTGATTGGACGTTCAATGTGATGGTGTCTACGCTCTTGTCCAGCTTCAGTTGCACACCTGGAAGATATTCACTGGTACGACCCTGATCCTGGCGCTTGGTCGCCCAGGCTGCAAACCGATGGATGACAAGACACGGGGCGAAACTTGTGAGCAAGCCATGCAAACAGCGGTCATGGACTGCACAAGCGCCCTTGTTGCTGCTAAATGAGTTTGGCGTCCACTCCCCACACTCAAGAAGAATGGCATTTGCTTTTGTCCGAGCCCCAGCACAAGCAGGCGTGCACGCACCAGCGATGCGACCAACGCGGTCGTTTGCAGCCTCATTGAGAGCCTCTTGCGCCTCAATGCCGACCACATCTAAACCGCAAGCCATGACCAAAATCTATGCTCACAGGCAAAATAAAAGGGCAAGCATGCCGTGGTGACGTCAGCAATCAGAACGTGGATAGAGGTCAGCGAGAAAACCCAGGCCTTGGCCAACTGGCACACACCTGCCCTAGGTACCCCTTGCCCGAGCCAAAATCAAATACGGTCTCGATGCCTCGGTCCTGACAGACTGAGGCGATGGCACCAGCCAGCCAGCTGACTTCGTGCACCTGATAGAAGCAATCCAATTAGAGCAAGCAAGCCAATCAAATGCATGGGTTAGCGTCGTGGCCCTTTGAACTGAGGCACCAGGTCATGCAGCGAGCGGGCAGGGTGCCGACCTTTTTGGGTTTCATACCCCGCGCAAGGACCTTGGCAATGGGTAAGGGGGCTGCAACGATATTGTTGGGTTGGCCCCCTTGCCGCGGGAGTGCTAGATCTTGCAGTTGGCGCACAAATTCCACCAGCGTGGCTGGGAACCAAGGCTGACACTCCCCGGCTGCCACGGCTTGTGCCTAGAAAGTGTCGAGTGGGAGAGCACGTATTCATAATTATGCCACTTCTGAAACAGCGATCATTAAATGACATCCAAGATGGCAGAGGTAGGGGCGAGAGCGTAGTCCAACGAGGCGGCACCTGTGCTGGTGTGCATTGCTCGAGGGCGGTGAACCAGGCTTCTGGAAGGGCCTGCTGCACCAACTCGAGCTTGGAGAAACACTCGACCATGTACGGCTCGACCAAGGCTCCGATGCGGCGCTGACGTAGCAAGTCCCAGCACGCCTGCGCGGCCGCATCCAATTCCTTGCCCTGAACACTCATTCTACCCGTGCGTCAAGCCTCTGTGCCACCTTCACTTCGCACGCACAACAAGTACCCTGGCCCCAAGGCTTCTCCAGCTTCTCTCTCTCGAGCACGTTGGTGTGAATTGGTGATGTTCAGCAGAGCAGCAGAAATCTGACAATTGCAAGCACACACGTTTTTTCCTTTGTTGTTGTTTCTTTTCCTGGCAGGAGGAGCCTGATTGCCTACCCACTACGGACTCGAATTCATGCTTTGAGAAGCACTTGTGGAAGCAACAGCCACATCTTATTGCGGTACGGCCGTTTTGATTCTTGCTGAGGTGGCTTGTGAATGGCGCCTGTCAAGCTACTAACTGCGACCCGCTCACGTGTATGCACACTTCATTAATAGGCGGCTAGGCTTGAGCTGGCGTTTTCATCTTCAAGCAAGCAAGCAAGCCTACTCTGATTCAGCCGGGCTTCAGTCGTTGACAGCAGCTTGTCACAAGCAGATTTATGCTTTCATAAACCCAGCCAGGCGTTTGTCGTGGTGTCGAGCCAGCAATGAATGGCATTTTTCTTCTTTCCTGTTGATCTCAAAAGTTCGAGCGAAGATCAACAAGCGAAGCACACTTTCTCTGTTCGACGGCAAGATGGGCGGCCAGATGGGCAAACCCATTCCAGGACAAGTGCAGGGAGTTATGCTTCAAGTGCAAGGATATGTGGTCGCACAACCATCATGAGTGCCGCCGTCATGAAGGTGGCCACTCAGGCTTTTTCAACGTTGTTTGCGATGTTGCCGGTGTGAAAGACCCCTCGGAAGCCATTCCAGGCACGAAGTGCGAAAAATGCGAGACCCTTTGTTTCAAGTGCCAGGAGGGCTGGCGGCATCATTATCACGAGTGCCACCATCATGAAGGTGGCCACTCTGGCCCCATCAATGGTGCTCGCGACCTTGTAACAGAGAGTCCCGCGCTTCGCTTCCTGGCGAAACACGGGGCAAAGGGTAGCTTCAAGACCTCGCTTTGAGCACTCCCACTGCCTTCGCTCACTCCGTGTCGGTCACTATGGGTCTTTCCATTAAAGCTCCCATGCCCTGGCACCTGCCTTGGGGCGATAAGCTTGTGGCTACCGTTGTTTCTCTTTATTGTGACACCTGCGGTTGGGCACGGGTTGCACTTTCTCTATCCTTGAGATTGAGCGACTCCACAGCTATTATAACGGTGCACCTGGTGAGGTCGCTGTGAATGCTTGCTGACCGCAGCTGGTTCAATTGACCTCGAGACACCATCACGGCTTCCTCAAACAAACCTTCGCGCTTCCTCACAACCCAAAACCGGCCTCCAGACGCGCTAGAGCCCGACAAACTACCATTCAGAGTGTGAATGCAAATTTTGATTCACATGTCAATATGGTCCCATTGAACTTGCCAAGGGGTCTGGCGCTTGTGTGCTGTATGGGGTGATGGAGCTGTTTGAGGCTGTCGACGAGGTAGGGGATGGGGCTGGGAAGCAGGTGTTGGCTATGTCTACAAGGCTGGCTGGCATGTGAAATTTCTGAGGTGGGAACCGATCGGCCCATGCCAGTTATTTTCGATGTACCGCTTGCTGGCCCCTGGTGCTCTGCAAACAATGTTCGAACGTGAAGAAAGGCCAGTATCATGACAGGCATCGGTCGAGCACGCCCGCCATCCCAGGGATCACGTGCGCTCAAAGCCCGTTGCAAGAAAAACGGACAGAAGCATCGCAAAAGTGAGTACAAAAATAAGCGCAAAAATAAGACGAAATTACGGCACAGTCATCACCGCGCGCAAACCAGTCAGGAAGCCAGAAGAACAACAAAAACAAAAGAGAAACATGAGGAGCATGCCTGGCAGGGCACCGCCCTCAACGAATCGCTCAATTGCCTCCCGGTCGAACCGACGGCTCATCGGGCAAGAAGATTGATGCTCTCCGACTGGGAATCGAACCCAAGTTCAGAAATGACGAGTTCTGAATGCAATTAGATGAATGAACGTGCCGATTAGAATATACGGATACGGATGGAGCTTGTTGTGTGGATGAGATGACAAGAGGGCTTTCCTTGCGCAGCAAGGAAGGAAGCGTGCCCGGATGGAGTGACTGCTAGCTTTTCAAGGCGCGCAACAGCGGTCATTGGGCCCGGCCAGTGGCCGAGGCTGCAGGCTGATCGGGGCTAACGGCAGTGCGCGTTATGTGGGTGTAGCTGGCCACCTCTATGCGAAGATTGGTCGCTACGGCCATGCGAAGGTGAAGAATGGCCTGTGATACAAACTGTGCCCCGTCACAGGGTGTATGTGGATGTTCATCATACAGCTGGCGCAAGCGCCGGACAAAGCGATGGACAGCGTCGGCCCCACCCGTAAAGTGTAGGGCATCAACCTCGGCATCACTGAACAGGTCAAACACGCCAGTGCTGCCATTGCGAGGCGCAGTGTCCTCGAGACCACAGGGGTTGGTCAGCGCGCGCTGCTGGTTGATTCGCGCAAAGGAGAACACAAGCTCTTCCAGGCCGTGGGGCGACGGATCCAGCGGCATATGCACGCCCGGAGCCAGCATAACATCCGTCGCGGCCAGCTTGTGACACCATGCATCAACGAGCTCATAAATGCGAAGAATGTTGAAGGCCCCAAAAGACTGTACGGCCACAGGCAGCTCTGCGGACGCCTATACGTACGACGCCCCCAAGTCAGCCGTCCTCGGCTATCCCACTTTGAACAAAAAGCTAAACCGTCCCTGGGCGACAACGCCATGCCTGATCGACTTGCTTACCTCAACATCGGCCCAAATTTGGCACATGGTAACGTTGACGCAGAACAGCAGCACACGCTGTTGTTGCTCAATCTAGGCAACGGCACACAGGTGAAAGCCCAAGAGATTTAGAATCAAGCCCAAGAAAGAAAGGAAAACTGCAAAGTGTCTGGCAGCAGCTGCGGGCCGTGCGAGCACGCGGTGTCTGGAGTAGGGAGTTGCGACATCGTACAGCATGGCGAATGACAGGCGCGTGTGGTGTGTGCCCATGTGTCAGGAGCACAAGGAGTCGTGGACGCTTGCTGCTGATTGACTTCTGGCGCCAGGCCAAGTTTTCAAACGCAGCCTCTGGCAGGGAGGGCGTCAGTTCCGGACCCAAGAGTGATGTAATGGTGGGCACAAATAGAGGGCGGCGCAGCTGCAGAGCCTGGCACCAGGCCACTCGATTGGGGTCGTGGGCCCACAGGGTGAGCTGATCTGCACACACGTGAAAACTAACATGCTGTTCCAAGGTCGTGCTGAGGAGCCGATATGTGGACTGCAGCAGGAGCGTTGAAGCTTGTCGGTGCTGCGGGGCCGACATCTGCTCGATGCGGGACCGAAACACCTCCATGGTGGGCGCCTGGAGCGCATGCATGGCGGTAATCATGCTGAGAAAGATTGGAGAGAGGCCGCGAAGCTGTTCTTGAATGGCGGTTTGGTTGTGCTCGTTTCGAAATGCATCCCAGGCGCCCAACTCCATGGGGCCCACGTCGTGACAATTGATTCCAAATAAAGCCCGCAGAGCACTTGACATGAATGGATCCGAGTTGTGGCTGTCCCGAACAAAGTGTTGCTGCAGCCAAAGCAACCAAAATCCCCACGCACGAATCAAGTCTTGTCCAGGTCACACATTGGTCTGCGGGGTGGCACACGAGCTTGGGGTCTAGGCGCGAGACCTACCTGCCAGTGTGGCCGAACGGCAGACAGTATGCCATGCGCCAGGTACTCGAGCGTGGCAGCGGAGTAGACGTAGCCGGATCCACCCTGTGCAAAAAGCGTCTGCCGATAGGGCTTGAGAAATGGGACGTCCGGCACAATCACCTCGTTCATGGGCATGAGCCAATGACAGGCGCCCATGTTCAGGGGCACAGCAGGGTCGAAGAAACCCAGTAGTTGCTTGATGAGATCCAGGTTGAGGAGGGTGTCGTCGTCGGCCTTCATCACGAAATCATGATGCAGCAAGCCCCGGGCCTGAAGGTGGGCGGTGGTCTCCCACAGCGTAGAGACCTTCAGAATCAAGTCAGGGCTGGCATCGGCGTCTGCCGGCAGGTCAATGTAGTGGGAAAAGTTGGCGTAGCTGTGGCGCGTAGCCAAGTACGTTTGGTCGGAAGGCCGCAGAAAGCTACCCGCGGGCAGGTTGACTAAAGTTCGGTTGGAGAGCGGCCCAAGCGGGATGACGACTACCACATCGGCTGGTGTGACGGCGGCGGGTGGACCATTTGCAGGCGGCGATTGAGCCACGCGAGCTCCAGCTGTTGGCTGGTGCAGGCTAGAGGGGCCAGATAGGCTTGGCGGCGCGAGTGCACCATCCACGGCCACCGCTGGACGTATCGAAGCCTCGGTTTGGCTGGAAATGTGTTTGGTTGGCTGCACACGAGCACGAATAGGTTGCAGCCGAGGCGCGTGCATCTTACTGCCGAGCGAGCTACCCCCACCACCCAGCGGCGAGGCATCACGCCGCACGGTGGGACGGACCAGCATAAATACCAACGTGACAAACAGGACAATCCCCAGCACACGCACTACCGCACTACTGCCGCGTGGCTCTGGTCTGGGGCCATTGATCAGGCCATTGCCCTGATCCACTGTCTGACCCCGCATCTCCGACGACGACGGCCATGACCACGAAAATGGAAGAATGACTTGGCAAAATTACCACAAAAAGTCACAGAGAGAAAGAGAGAGAGAGTTTGAGAGATTGAGTTTGTTTGAGAGTTTGGGAGTTAGAGAGAGAGATTTTGAGAGAGAGAGAAAGAGATTTTGAGAGAGAGAGAGAGAGAAAGAGAGAGAGAGAGAGAGAGCTTGAGAGCTTGAGAGAGAGAGCTTGAGAGAGGCAGAGAGCTTAAGAGAGACAGAGAACGAGTGCTTTTTTTTTTCTCCTTTGCGGTTGCAACAACAGCCAAGGGGGGTCGACAGAACAGCTCAATCACCGTCATGGCAGGAAGAAGGGTGGCCACGTTGTTGCCGGCTCATATGGAGGTGGTGGACATTACAGAGAATCCACGTGGGGCGCCGCGGCCTCCACTGGACCCAGCCTGCGAGAAGGTATGTTGCAACTCTTGAAGGCTTGACTCCGGAGCCGTGTCCTGTCAGGGCAGTGCACAATGTCCGAGCTGCCCATACGGGCCTCTGTTGTCGGCAGACACACGAAAGGGTATGGGTATGGGGTTGTGGAGCAATCGGGGCTCATTCCAGCTTGTATTGCCACGGCAGATTGTCTACTTTATCCGCCACGGACAGAGCATTGCCAACATTGCCGAGTTTCCTGAACGCGACCTGCCCAAGTTTCGCGATGCCCAGCTCACGGATGTGGGACACCAGCAAGCGCGAGCCTTGCAAGCTGGTACGCCTTTGCTCTGAGGCGCCTGCTTGGCTGCCCGGACATGGTTGGGATTCGTTCATCTGTGCATGGAAGCATGGGTGGCCCATCGCGTTTTCGCGGCTCACAACGCTGGCGAATGTGGTTTCTTGCCGATGCGTGCATGCTCTTTGACAGCGGCAGCCAACTGGGGCGTTCAGGCAGTGTACACGAGTCCATTGACCCGCACCATGCAAACTGCCTGTCTCGTGTTTGAACACGTGGACGTCCGCATCGTGGCCTGGCCTATCGTCACTGGTGTGTAGGGGCAGTGCTTGCATCGCGATGGTCTTTTCTGTGCTGGCCTTTTTGTGTGTTGGCGAAGTCAAGGGGCAGAGCGTGTTACCCGCAAACACAGACCGGTGCTGACCCTATCACTCATCGTCGTGAATGGCCTGGGATTGGGTCGTGCAGAGTTTTATCCTCAAGCCACTGAGTGCCAGGGACGCAACGTCTCTGACCTACGTCAGGCCGCCGAGCTTACCGCACTGTCCAAGTTTGGCGCAGTCCAGCTCGACGGAGTTTTCGATGTGAGTTGCGGCAGATTTGCCCATAGGCCCTGTCGTCAAAGCAAACAAACGCGGCAGCCATTACTGCTGTTTTTTAATTATTTTTATTTTTAAATCTTCCTAGGATTGGTGGACCATTGCCGGCAACCGACGCGGACGCCTCAGCACTTTTTTACAATGGTCCGTTTCTCTTTCTCTGTCTGAGCCGCGTTCTGAGTTGGTTTCGAGGCAACACGTGTCATTTAAAAGCCGAGGGGCTCTGCCTGTTGAATCGTAGGCTGAGCATGTGCCCCGAGACACGCATTGCCGTCGTTTGTCATTGGGGTTTTATGTATGAGCTGCTGCAGCGAGAGCTGGCTGCGTCTACGCAGCTCGAGTTGCACAACTGCTCGGTCCGTCTCACTTTTTGCCGGGTCAAGCCATGCTCTTGACACCGCATCCAAACTCTAACTTTATGCAATGGGTCGCGCGTCTCGGTACCTTGGCAGGTGGTACGCGCGCGATTCAAAACGACACGCTTGGCCCCCTTTTATCCGCATCTGGACAGGCAACGTTTTTACGGTGCGGTTTTTGTTGTGTGTGTGTGTGTGTGTGTGTGTGTGTGTGTGTGTGTGTGTGTGTGTGTGTGTTCATCTTTCCGGGCGTGCGTGGCTGCGTCGAGGGCGTTGCAGCGATCCAGTTTTAACAATGGCCCAAACACGCGCATGTCATCCTTACCTTTGTCTACATTGCACATAGTGGCCAACCTGGTTCTTACCGGAGGCGTTGGCGCGGAGGCCATTGAGCTGTACGGGCAGCTGCAAGACTTTATGCATCGATGCGCGCGTGATGCCACGCTGCAAAACACTTCCGGCCTGCATTGGGGTGGCATGGTAGTCATGCCCGTGTCAGACAGTCTGTTGTGCGAGGAGCATGCCATCGTGCATGATCTCAAGCAACGGCTCGCACGAGCAGCCGAGGAATGGCGCACGCGCCGACCTGCCGAAAATTGGAGCGCGACGCCCTTGCAGCCCAGTCTTGAGCGAGCTCGAGTGCATCCTAAACTGCATTTGGGTTATCGCAGTGCGGCAGCAGCAACCTTTTTGCGCGAGGTGCGCGCAGATCTGGCGCAGGTGGGCGCAACTCTGACCGAACCGGTGCGTTCCTGCATGGAGCAAGGCGACTCCGATGCTTTGTGGTTCATGCTTTTTGACAGCGGTCCCGAGGTGGATTGGAAGCCGTACGGTGATATTGACCTTCCCGCCTTTCAGCGGGTCGCCAGTGGGCTGCCCTTGGTGGCGGCTCTTATCAGCGCTGCCGCAGACCCTGAGACCACGCCTACGGAAGAGGTGGCGCGCGCGCAACAAGCGTGGTCGCAGTTGCAGTGGAGCCTGTGTTTGACCTCATATGGGGCACAGCAAGGCTCTCACTTCCTTCGTATTGAGGCCACGCATCCATTTTAGCAAACTTGAGCCGTGGCACTTGCTGCAGCAGACTACCAGGCCTGTTCATCAATCCTGACCAGGTTTTGCGATGAATTGAGCCTGTATTCAGCCCTCTGCTATGACCGTGGTTGTGCTGTTCGACATATGGGTATTTTACAGCTAGATTGATAAGGGGCAGGGAAGAGAGGTAGTGGCGAATGCTCAATTACCGACACGGCCGGACGAATGAACGGAAAAAGCTTGCGTGGACCACAGGTCCACCGCATGCAAACTCATCATGATCACGCATAATCGCAAAGACAACAGAGGACTCATCTCGAGTAAAATCAAAAGATTAAAAAAATGAAAAGAACAAACAAACGCAGTTCGACAGGGGCCGAACATTTGGTGCAGCATGCAAATGGGGAAGTAGACTACAAGTGCGACTGAAAAACTCTCTATAGTGCTGGTCAAGAGCGCAGCAATCATCGACACCAAGTCCTGGGATCAAAATGAAGAAGGGAAAACAAAAAACAAGCACATTCCACGAAAAACGATTACAACAAGTAACAATCTTCCTAAACCTGGCCGCATGCTCGTGCATGCAGCGATGACAGCAAGGTATGAGAAACATCTGTCCACGCTGTTTGAAAGTTAAGCAGATGTGAAAAAGGAATCCAAAGGCAATTCGTCCTGGATGCGGAAGGCCTCGTTGAGGAGATCATCAGTGATGCCCCCGAAGTCGTCAGAGGATTGCCAGACAAAAGGTGCTTGTAAGCTAGTGCTGGTTTGGTCACTCGCCGTATCCATGCCCATTGACAGAAATAGATGGGCAGGCGGCTGGCCAGGCTCTGATTCCGAGGTGACATGAGTTTGGAGGCCCATTTCGTCCTGTGGGCCACCATCTAGGAAACAACGCCAATATTCGTTGTCTGGCTCGCTGTTCATCGCCGCAGGCGTAAGAAGGGAGCTCGTGGAAAGGGGGCTCAATGGAAGGGAGCTCAAGGAAAGATGACTTGAGTCAGGCGACTGAGCCACGGCGGTGGCAGACTTGGCGTATTCCGACAAGGCTTCTTGAGCTTGCTGCTGGAGGGCTTGGATACGTTTGCGCCGCGAGGCCGTGGTCGACTTGTTAGTCTGGGCGTTGCTTGTCATTGCCTTTGCGTTGCGCTTTGTGGCCTTGGACTTGGCTTTTGTGGAAGTATTGCGAGGTGGGTTGGGCACCTTGGTCCAAAGACCCGACGAACCCGTCCGCTCAAGGGAAAATTGCAGGCCGTTAGGCACCAAGCGCAGGCCGAGCTGCTCCCAGAGGGCGTTGATGAATTTGATGGTGTCGTTGAAGATCCCGATCTTGTCCTTATCAGCTGTGAAGCGATCGGAGATGTCGAGAACGCCTCGCAGATGGAGCTTGATGTCTTTGGCGTTGGAAAATTCTGTGGAGGCGATTGCGTGCCGTCAACAGTAGCGTGATGAGATGAAGCTGCGGTCCGACCTGGGCGCGCAACAAACAGGCAGATGGAGAAAAAAAAAAAAAAAAGGGAAAAGACAAGGCTCAGCCTCATACCACGAATGATTTTCCACTCAGGAAGGCACAAAAAAGTCGTACGCAGCTCTTGGGACAGCTAGTGGCGAGAAGACGAGGCAAAGGCAAGGCAGGATGAATAAAATTGAAAGCAGACAAGACACATGCGCACGGCGTCAAATACTGCTGTTTCAAGACCAGGGAAAAGCACTCGCGTACTTGAACTGTTCCACAGCCACAGGGGGCTTTTGGCTTTGAGGCCTGGCATGGGCAGGGCTGTGCACCACTGGCCAGTCGGCCGAGGTAGAGCAAGAAGTTCTTCCAGCCCAGGCGTAGGTCTTTGTGGGTGCGGACACGGCCGTCGGTCTCGTTCTGCAGCAGCTCAATGGAGGATTCCTCGGGTGCTTGGTACTCGTGGTGCTCGGGATGGATGCTGTAGGAGACCTCGTTGACTTCAGATCGAAAGTCACGTGGGGCGTTGGGACGCAGCTTCAGGCTTCGTGGGGCAGCCGTGCCCGGGTCTAGAGGACACGCACCGAGGAGAAACACGCGCGGCGAGCCTGGTCAAACGCGAGCGGAAGGGTTGGTGGTGTGCAAAGATCGCGCCAGGTTGAAGCAGTGAGAGGGAAGACACCCGACTCACTGTAGGCAATGGAATAGAGACCCAAGGTGAGGAGGTCGGTACGTTCTTGCTCACTCAGGGAGTGGAGGGAGACCATGACTGCGATAAGCAATCTCGGAAGCTGAAGACGCGGTTGAAAATGGGATCAAGGGCAGTCGTCTGGTCAGAGCTAGTTGAGATCATCCGAGTTTGATGAAGAAAATGCCACCCAGTCTCCCGCATCTCGCCGTCTATCCACTGGGAGCGCCAGAACTTTGAGTCCGATCAAACTGTCATGCCATTCACACTAGGCGCAAATGATTTTCTTGCTCATCCACGTCCACGTCCATGTCCTTGTACACACATACAAATCAAAATGTCTCCCCTCCCCCGAATGTAGGCTTGCTTAACATGCCTAAAAAATCGGGCACAGGTATCCCCGTGCGCTCACGAGAAAAGCGCGGTTTGGGGTGCGAGACAATTCATTCACCCTATTCTTAGGAGATTTGACAAAACAAAAGTGAAACCGGCGTTGCAGTTTTGATGTGTAACAGATGTTATATTTTTCCAGGTCCTTTCCGATCTCTCGATCGCAAGTGTCGCATGTCAGGCTCCAAACCACAGCACACAAATAGGAAAAAATAGACAACATGGCCCCTGACCTGACGTTTGTGTTACACCACCCAGACGCACAGCCATGGAGCCCTGCCCACGCTGGGAAGGGATCGCAGACAGCCCAGGAAACCGTTTGCAACCTGGCCTTTCCTCACTTCGCAGACGCCCGAGGGCCGACTCCTCACTCATTTTTTTTTTTCCAAGACTTGGTCAAACCTCCTCTGAATCTTCCCTCCGCCGTTCACCACCAAACCTGCTGTCACAAGACGCGACCGTGACCGACAATTATGGCTGGAACATGCATTCTTGAATGGCACATGCCCGACATAATTTTTTTTTGCCAATGGCTGTTTTGTATTCTTGGCCCAAGTACGCGTCATCATCATTCCTCCGCTCCCCCGCTCCTCTGCGCTTTCACTCGTTTGTGGCCACTGACAAGTTGTGTGCACGGTTTGTGCGTTGCAGGTCAAGGCAGTGCGGACCACCGCCGCCTGTACTTGAATGGCAAGGTGATGGAGTTCCAACATCGGCTGCCTCACGAGATCAAGCTCGTTTCGAGCCCCACGGCCGAACCAATCGTCCTGGACTTGAAGGGCAAGATTGATGGCCGAAGCCGCGTGAATTGGGAAGTGAGGAACAAGTGCCAGAGCTTTTTCAGTAGCATCGTTGACTTGGCCAAATGGGGTTGTGATGATCCAGCCCAGTTGACTAGCACAACCAAGGTCCGACGGCATGGGCAAGGCCTGGCCACAAGTTGAATATGCGCGTGCGGCCAGCCAAACTCACCTGTTCTCAATGCTATTGCCCAACATAGAAATGCCGCCAAATTTTAGAGACTTATCTTCGTCTTCCCCTCTGGTCTTTCCTTGAAGGTGAGGCAGTCGTCACCTCGGCTCTCCCCCCTTCCATTCGCTTGCATGTCATTCTTTGGGCATGCTCGACCAGATGACGTTTTCTCACAGTCCACCAATTCCTTACACAGAAACTGGAGAGAACCACAACGCCATTCGACTTCGCTTGAAACTTATTCTTGGCGCAAATAACCAGTACCACTGTCAGCGAAAGGAAGCTTCGGCTGTTCAGGACTTTTGCAAGCGTGTCAAGCGCTGCTCAGCAATTTTGGAGTGCCAAAACATTCGACTCTCAGCCCAAAATGACCTCTTTACGGTCGAAGTCTATCAAAAGGCAGCCTGTCTGCCCGAGGGGTTTGACTTGTGCTCTGCCCAACCACGGCGTAGCCGCTCTGCCCGTGGTGGGCGGGCACGTCTCGTGCAGAGGAAAAGCACCCTATCACCAGCGCCAGGCAAGCACATGAAGCGCTTCACGACCCTTGCTACAAAAGGTTCACAAGTGGTGAAAGAAGAGACTATCGAGGCCATCAAACAGGAGCTTAAGAAGGTACCTCGTCCAACAAGCACGACAGATGCGCCGCAGCCGTACACCTGGGAGCAATGCATAGCAGACGATTCCTTAAATGACATTGGCATGGATCAGGAGCTTGATTCGTTTTTGCAGCACCTGTCATCCCAGCCTCCCTCGCCTGTCCAAGATCTCCAGGATATCGATATGCTCATCGATATGCTCCCAGCCGATGCTGTCCCAGTCCATGCCCCGGCCACTGCTACCCCAGCCCATGCCCCGGCTCATGTTTCTTCAACTGCAGACAACAACTATCTTCTTTTTGACTCTTCACAGACTCAAATGGAACTTGAGTGGCCTGATAAGCAAGTGCTCGCAAGCTCTTACGCGGCCGATTGGTCACACGATGTAGACCCATCTATCATCTCGAGGCCAATGCAGATGCCTGCATCCAGCTGCCCTTGTCCAGTGGATATTTGCATGCCCAGCCCCTTCTGAGACAAGCGTGTCTTTGCTTACGACTTTGCAGATCGCTTTATTTGACTGGGCTTTGAGCCAGTCTGTTCTCGCACAGCTGTCAGCTGCCTCAGACCTTTCACTTCTTTTTGATTGTCCATTCGCTTTACTTCTTCTTCTTCTTCTTCTTTTATTTTTACCTGTATTTTTGGATTTTGCTCCACTTCCCCTATAACGCATAGGCGCAGCACAAGCCCGCATGCACCAATGTAGTATTGGCCTGAGTGCACGTTCCTCGTCGAGTTTTGAGATGTTACGGTGCTCTAAGACAGTATTAATTGTCAAACTTGAACACGCGAGTGAATTCGTTCAAATGTCCTCCATCCTCGCTTCATCGTCCTCGTGTTTGTAGTGTCTGAGCCTCTGCATGGCACTGAGCATCATACTGCGCGCCAAATAATAGTTTAGTACGCTAGCAATCAGTGTTCATTGCGTTTTCGAATTGATGGGGACAACGGCCGTGACATGATCTTTTCAAAGAAAGGACCTTGAAAAACGTTCTCAAGAACCATGCCCAAGTGCCTCTGTCTGTGAAGCGCACAACACGCAACCAAGGGGGGGGGTCACGCAGACAAGTAGTGCCAAACGGCAGCTGCATGGGTAACAAGACAAAAGGCCGGTTCCTTAGACGAGATTGCGCAAAACAATCAGGGTCGCTGGGCCACGTTTGAGCCAGGATTTTCGACAACCATGCGACGTCGGCGCAGGTGCCGCAGTTCTTGTTCATAGAGTAAATACGACTTGACGTTGGGTGGCATGGCCAACGCACGGACGCTATTAACACATTACCCAGAATAAAGACTCGTCATCCCTCATGACGGCACTCCAACAGTCACCACAACACGGAATCTCGTACAGCAAGTGTGTACACACACGCACGCACACACCTGGCTGCAGAAAGTTGCTTTCGAGCTTGACGGCGACACAAGTCTTGCAGTGAAGGCACCCGGCATACTGAACAGCATGAAATGTGAGATTGGCACAGGTAAAAAACAACATAAGGAACCGATGAGAAACAAATTCCAGGGGCAGCCTGCCCAATGAGCGTCGGTGAGTAGAACCAACAGCCAAACCTACCCCATTCTCGTAAAATGGCAACGCAAGCAGCCTTGTCTTCGTCAGCAGCGTTTTGCTGATGACAAACGCACGTCAGATCGGTACAATGGTACTGTTTCAAGGTGTTAAGCAACGTGCCCATCAAGAATGGTCATGAAATTGGCCCACGCCAATTACAGAACAAACAATCGAGTGAGCCGCTTTTCGCAGAAAAAGGATAAAATCCAAAACAATACAATACGTTCCTATTGCTTGCTCCTTGCTGCCAACGGCTCTACACGCATCATGGGCACGTGGTACTTACGCGCTCAGCAGCGTGATCAAGGGCAGTCTTGTTGAAATTAAGATGCTTGAGTGACCACTCAGATTGGATGGTGCGGGCTGAGGCATCACAGCCGAGGGCCAAAAGAACACGCACAACGTCCGATTTGCCCATGTAGGCGGCGTAATGCAGGGGGGTGCAACCTTCAGTTGTCACAGAGTTGATGTTAGCACCCCATGAGATCAGCAAGCGCACACAATCTGTCTTGCCATTAAACGCTGCAATGTGCAAAGGCGTTGCTCCATAGGAAACACCCCGAAAAGCATCGGCACCATGGAAACGCAGCTCAACCAGCACCAACGGATTTCCTCCCTACACCCCGGCGGCGGGCAAGGCAATGATCATAAGAGGAACACCCGTACGGGCCTAGTGGATGTGCAAGCCCCACATAGCCAAAGGTCATTGTCTCCGAGCCGACATACGCGTGCGGCCTCGAAGATAGGGGTTGCACCGTCCAGGGCAGCAACATTGACGTCTGCGCCGGCGTTGATGAGTTCGCGCACAATGTCCAATCGGCCACCCTTGGCGGCCAAGAATAGTGGCGTGCACCCGCCCGAGCTATAACGCGGTGTCAGAGGAGGCCAGGGCGGACGAAGAGTGGGTAAAACCGCGGTTCACAAACAATACTCATCAAAGTGGCATGGCATATCTGACAAGCCAAGGGGCAAAAAAAAAAAAGGAGGAGGGGTTGAGTCTGTAGGGGAGTTCGAACCTGCGGGCGTGTGGGTCAGCACCATGGGCAAGAAGGCACCGAAAGCATTCCTCAGCTCCCTAGTTCAACGGCAACGTCATGCCAAAGCACATCCACCCACGTTCGCGCAAATGACGACAACTTGTTGAGAAAAGGACCATGCCTCGATGGTCAAAGCCCAAACAACGCCCCAAAGGCTTGAACAGAGAAATAACCTGACCTCTTCAGCTGCGTAACACAGAGGGGTATATCCAGCTCGACTGCGGGCGTTGATGTCCACTGTAGGGCAGGCGAGCAACAATCTCAAGCACTTGATCGGGAAAAAAAAAAAAAAAGTCAGAAGCCCGAACCAGTTAGCAGCAGATTGTCGCGTCAGGCCAAACTCTTGAGCGAAAATCTGGGTGAGAATGCGGTGGAACGTCCGTCGCGAAGACACACCGTAGCATCTCGTAAGCAGGCAGCAATGTGGCTAAAGGGTGCAAACGGAACGGGATGCCAGTGATTCGCAAGCCAGAGCAAGGATAGGATCGGCAAAAGAGGATGCTACAGGTCTTGACGCGGTGGTGTGTTACAAGGACCAGCCATACATTGGAAAAAAGCCGTCTGCATTGGCTTGATTCAGATCAGCTTGGTAGTCGAGGCAGAGGCGCACGCCCTGAGCAAGCCATGGGTTATGGAAACGCACATGAGACGCATTCGGCCAGTTTAATGTCATAAATGTCGAGGCGGGGAAGCTGTGGCGAGGCTAGGATGGCAAGGGCTCACTGCCGAGTTGGAGGTGCTTGCAAATATGTAGAGCAACGAGCAGCGGTCAGCGTCGCATGTGTTGACGCTGTGACCTGCTTCCAAAAACCGTCGTACAAGAGGCACATTGCCAGCCTCAGCCGCGTCAATGAGTTGGCTTTCCAATGTGGCCGCCATGGCTTCTTTGAGCCTGACGGGTGGGAGCCACCAAAGCACCGGCGGACAAAGGTGTGGCCAGACGCTGAGCAAGAAGGCAAACCCTCAATACGGCTAGTGCCTGAGGAAGTGTACAACAAATTGCCCCAGGGAAGCAGGGCACAACGGCTTTCGAGGCAAGGGCGGATGGCTAGGCCAACAACGAGTTTGCCTGATGTTCCGCGCGAGACAGTAGATGGGTGGTGAGCGTACGACATGGGCGCAAGAGTAGCTAGGAACCCAGTCGGCGCCACACACCATGTCCAGAGGCGAGCGAGCCAGTCAGAGCAATGCAGGTCAATCCCCCTCAAAAGTGTGCACGCCAAGATAAAAAAAAAAGGCCTCTGAACCCAAGACGAGCCGCGTGAGGTCACGGCCCGCAAGAGGCTGCCGTTTCTCTCCCTCTCCCCTCCCCTTATAAACGTAAACTGAAGGAATGTTGGCCCAACAACCAAATATCACACACACACACACACACACACATATAAGAGAACAAAAGTATGATGATGCAAACCCTTCTTTCTTTTATGTGTGTGTGTGTGGCATGAGATGGTCGATCCGCTTTTTTTTGCCCATGCGTTTCTTGTATGCCGCTGCACCTAGCTTTGTTGGTCTCAACTTGTGTCTGCATGCTCTTCATCTCTCTCTGATGGTACGTTGAGTTTCAACGGATTTTGGTGAACGTCTGGATTCCATTTGGGTCCAAAGCCTGCAAACAATTTGGGCTTATAGGTGGCCCTGGCGAAAACGCTGCATTTTGCTGGGCAGGAGCTCGACCATGTCCTTGGCAATTTGAAGTTCCGTCTGGGACACGGGCCGGGCTGGCGTGAGCGGCGGACATCTTCGCTTTAACAACTTTAAACTCCAGAGCATGAGCATGCCTGGCTCCTTAGCGCACCTCAAAATTTGGGACTGGATGCTTGTTGCAATAGTCGACGATGTAAGTGTAACGCATCAGACTATCCTCGTGAAATTGGATGAGCTCATTCACGTCTGCCGTCAGCACATGGCTGCTCCTACCCATCCCAATTCGTGCCGGTGGGTACGTGCGGGGGAAACATGCAGCATAGGGCAAGTCTGGTCGCTTAGCTACGCAAGGGCCGAGCAGCGAGTTTGGCGGCAATTGACATACAACCGAGCTGCCCAGAATTGGGCCATCAGTACAGAACGTTGCTCCATCTCCTCCAAGGGGGACGGTAAAGCCCGGTTGTGATCGGCAGACACGAAGATCAAAGGCGGGAAAACACATAAAGACCAAGAACAAACGAAGGAACAAAACAAAATCTTGATTCTCCGTGCCACAAGGGAGGAATAGGAAAGCGAGTAACCGTCGCCTCGAACCAATGAATGTGATGAAGTTCTTGCGACCCAGAGCAATCCTAAAAGTTCATGCAGCAGGGGTCCTTCAGAAAATGAAACGAGGCCGGCGTAGCCATGGGCACTACACTGACAAGCGGTTGACTTTGGCGATTGCCTTGGGGTCGGGGTCTCCTGAATCCTTGAGTCGTTGGTACTTGATGTTGTACATCTCCATGTAGATCTCGCCTATGAGGATCACATTCATCAATCCACTGGCTATCTTTGGGCCCAGAACCTTCGGCCCTCACCTACCGAGCTCGAATCGAAGCTGCTTGCACACGGCCAAAAAGTACTGGCTGTTTAGCTGCCCCGCGATGGCCTCGAGGAGATCGGCACGGCGCTTGTGCATTTTGCTGGCAATGTCTGGGTCTGGTGTGTAGTCTGCAAGATGTCGGAAAAAAGCGCTATTGTCTTGCACTACCCGATTGAAAGTCCCCAACAACAAGAAAGGGCCCTCCGTAACGATGAGAATATCATTCAGATGCATCAAGGGGAGAGGCGAGAATGCACGACCCGCCAAAAGACACGCACAGCAAGCCACGTGATCCGTGGCATGGTCTTGAAGCGTGTAGAATTTGAGTGCTTCATTCAAATGTCGCGTGCCTGTCGCCAATGGGGCGGCCAAGAAAGGAAGGGCCAATGAGACGTCCACTCAAAGTTAGCTTGAACGTCGCTTGAGGCCCGCACGCACCATGGATGTAGCAATGCTTGGCTGTCTCATAGTCTGTGGGTGGTCGGACAGGTGTCTGTGGAGGCACAATTCGGAGCATCAGCTTGTGCGAGCTGCCAATGGCTCACGCAGACAACTCCAGCCTGCTCGATCTGGAGGCGCCTACATACATCATCTTCATAGGGCAGGACGTCCAGGTCGAAGCGCACAAAGTCTTGCGAAGCCACCCTAGAGACAACCACAACGTCTGCATCGGTCGGCACCACGGCACACGCGACACATGTATTTGCACCTTTGCCGTGACGCACTCTTTGATCGAAGCCTCCTCAGTGGCCTGTCGTTTCCCCTCATCCAAGAGGTTGAGGAAATACTTGACCCAGCACATGCTAATGCTCGCGTGCTGTCGCTGTCGCTCCTCCTCTTCCCCAGATGCCATGTCCATAGGAGCCAGCGGACCGCTTCGCTCAACATCAGCCACGCGCATGAAGCTTGCACATGCTGAAAAAAAAAGAAGAAGAAAAAAAAAAAAAAAAAGCAGGTTTTCAAAACGCACCCAATGGGACGTGAGCACACAAAGTTGCCCAATCAAGAGCAAGCAGAGCCGAGGCAAGACCAACCCAGGCAATGACGAGCAGCCTGCCACATGGCTTCGGTCATGAAGTATTGTGACAGCGCAGCGGCGTGCACAGCCCATTCCTACGTTCGGGCCAGGTCATCCGCATCAAAAGTCTGCACGTGCACATTGTTCGGAACACATTCGATGGAGGAGTATTACTACCAACCAGGGGCTGGTAAGCGTCGAATTCGAGCTGCCGTTGCAGCGTGCGTTGAATGTATTCGGCCATCTGTATCGGTGCATCATGGCCATGATAGTGAGCCCAGAGCAAAAGTACCATGTCCGCTTTTAATAATTCAGGGCTGCCGAGATAGGGCGCAGCACCTCCTCACCTTGGGACGCTGGCCAAGGTTGCCGTAGGCCTGAGCCAGATAGAAAGATGTGAGGGTGTGGGCAGTTTCTAGACCCTTGCGTCGCTCTTCTCCTGAGCATCGGTCCACAAATCTAGGGCAAGGGATGATCAAAGAGTGCTTCTATCAAGGAGAATTGATGCAAGAAGGGACAGCTCGCTACCGCGCAGCGGGCGAGCAAATGCACGCACTCGGTGTGGAGCCAGGCGGTGGCTGGATCATGATCAGCGACAAAGGTCCGGTAGAGTCGGTCTGCTTGCTGCAGGTGGTTCATGGCCTGTTCAACCTCGCCCAAACCCGCCCAGACGATGCCTGTGTGCAAGGGCACCGAGACAAGCAAAGCGCGCATCAAATTCCAGTTGGTTCATGGTTGCGTGTGAGTTGTGCGGTGTCTCAGGCGCAGACATACCGAGATGATTGTGAATGGCGATGGCAAGAGCCACGCGTCTCGGCTGCAGGTTGGCGTCCACATCATCAGCAATGATTTCTCGAGCCTGTTGGCATGCAGCGGTATGTTCAGGGCCAACTCATCCGTGAGCATCACGTAAGCCTCTGGCACGCAAGTGGCACACAAGATCACGAGGAGCCGCAGGCAAGCAAACTTACGCGGTCCAGTAGCTTCTGGCCTTCGCTGGTTTCTTCACTTTCACTGTGGTTAACACCTGTACCGAATTCAAAACCGGTGGCAGTGCGCATGGCCCACTCAAGTTACGCACAAAACTGCAAGCAGAGGGGCGGGACGCAAAAGGCAAAAACGAACCGAGTTGAAAGAGGATGCGGGCCAAGGACTCGCTCTTGATCTGTTCTGCATCGACATCAGCATCTCCAGTGTCGGAGGGCTGCATGGCAAGCTGAGCCTGCAAAAGAACCAACAACTTTCGTGCCTCATATTTGTGTTGGAATGGCGCCTCCTCCGGCTCTGGCTAAGAAGGGGTTCAGCGTCAGGTGAAGAATGCCCAACTCGGTGAGTGAACTTGAACAACAGCCCCCCCCTGGTAACAACGAACTTGTGACTCACCTTGTCCTGTAGCTCCAACGCGTCCTGCAACGTCTTGGTCGCCTCCTCGGCCAGCCAACGCATCAAGCCACCCCCCTGACTCGTCATCCTGTTTCGTTCGAAAAAAGAAAAGAGAGAGAGAGAAAAAAAAACTGCCTAAGCGGAAATGTGTGTTATGTTACACTTACCATTCGATTTGTTGATGTTTTAACACACACACACACACTGAGAAAAACATTTTGATCGGCTCGTGTTGTGAGTGTCGGTGCGATCGTGTGAGTGAGGGAGCGGAGTTGCCGTATCATGTGCTCTTGATCTGGGGCTTGTGAGGCTTGTGAGGCTTGAGGCTGATGGAGACGGATGCCAGTGGCTAATAGTGTTGTCTCTGCTTGCTGTTAGTGACTGAACTCTGACAGAACTGGCAGGATGCGTGTGATCGGCATGCTTGTTTGCCTTTTGGCTGTTGGCACTGTTCGGGCCAGCGTTCACATGCCCAGCGTCTTCTCCGACAACATGGTCCGTGCCGTGCCTTCTGGCTGCGTCGATCTCGATTTTGTGGGCAAGATCATGGTTGTGGTCCCTGGGTTTCAACGTTGTCCTTGATCGCCATCTCGCCTCGCACAGGTGTTGCAAACCAATGCCGCTTATGGTGCTCGTGCCTTCTTCTACGGCACGGCCAACCCCAATGAACGCGTCATTATCAACATGACCGGTCAGTTGTGAGCCTTGAAGGTGTCGGTTGAAGACGCTCGTTCTTTCAGGGCATTGACATGCCAATGACCAACTGGCACAAGCGGTGAAATTCATCAGACGCCCACCCCCCCCCCCCTTTTTTTTAAACGGTTTCTTTGTTTCTATCGTTCCAGGCGTGAACAGAGCCGTGTATGAGGTGACGGCCGACGCCAATGGTGATTGGAAAATTACCTCAAATCCTCTTCGCGTCACCGAGGATAGTAAGGACAGCCTTTATCGGCCTTTGGTCATTTGCGTCATATTGGTAGAGCGGCAAAGTTGAACACTCATTGTCAACACGTGGGCGTTGCCCCACTGGGCTTCCATAGCTGAAGCGTTCACGGTAACGGGTGAAGATGGTGATCCCATTATTGCCCGCAACGTCTCCGTCGGTGAGGTCTTTCTTTGCTCTGGCCAAGTACGTGGTTGAAGAACAAAAAGACAGCCGTGTCATCCACCATCCTCTAGTTCATGCCCTGTAGCGCCAGCACGTCAAGCCGTTCTCTCAACAGAGCCCACCTCTTCGACGCGCATGCATAGAGCAATATGGTCTTCCCCGTCGCCCTCTCTCTCAACTCGTCCGCGGAGGAGAAGGACGCTGAAAACTGGCCTCAATTTCGTTTGTTCCTTGCCTCCCTGGTTGCCAAACCCACCGAGCAAAAAGACGTGCCTGGAAAATGGGTTCGCAACACGCCCGGCAACGTCTCTGGCTTCAGCGCCGTCTGCTACTTTACTGCCCGCGACACCATGCGTCTTCTCGGAAACACGGGTCCCGTGGGCTTGGTGCAGATCGCTTGGGGTGGTACCCGTGTCGAGTCCTGGATGTCGCCGGAAGCTCTTGCGGCCTGTCCCAACCCACCGTCCTCTGGTCAGAACAAGCAGAATACCCCAACGTACCTGTGGAATGGTATGGCGGCACCCGTCATCCAAATGTCCTATCGAGCCATGCTATGGTATCAGGGCGAAGCCAATGCCGCTGGTTCCAACTCCACGGCCTACTACAGTTGCAATTTTCAGAGCATGATCGCCGACTGGCGCCGCCGCGCGGGATACGGCGACGTGGCCTTCGTCTTCATGCAGCTGCCCCCCTCAGTGGATGCCAGTGCTCCCATTGACAGTGTCACCGGGCGAAACGAGATCCGTGCTGCTCAAGCACAGTCTCTCCCGCACCCCGAAGCCGAGACAGACATCTCCGGAATGACCGTAGTCATTGATCTCGGTGGCATCTCAGCCTGGGGCGTCGATCATCCGCCCGCCAAGAACATCATGGGTCATCGCATGGCGCTTCAGGTCCTGCACGTGGCCTATGCTCAACAACAACAATGGAACGGCACACTACGCTACACGGGGCCACTTTTGGAGAGCGTGACCACCTCTGACAGCGAGACAGCCGTCATGTTTCAAGACTGGTCTGCCGAGGGCCTGTACTTCCAAGGGCCCGTCAACTGCACGACGTGCTGTGCCCAGACTCCTTTTGAGGCAAGCCTTACGCTGTTTTTATTGCAACACGTCACCTTCTCTTCTGTCACTTTGACTCTGCACGCTCTTTGATTGTACTTCCATCAGGTGCTGCCTGTGGGCGCTTCCAACTGGTCATGGATGAACGGCAGCATCCAAGACAACAAAATTGTTTTTGCTAAAGGAGACATAGCCGAGGTTTGGCCTGTGTCAGATGCGCAACACACGCAGAGAGAGGGGGGGAGAGACAGAGATGTTGTTCATCAAGCATTTGTTGGCGGTTGCCTTGATTTTGATCACAAGTCTTGACTTTTTTTCTTGTCGTGCGGTCGGTTGAATTGTGGGCGGCATGCATGTAGGTTCGCTATGCCTGGACAGACTTTGTACAGTGCGTGCTCTTTAACAAGGATGGCTTGCCAGCGGCACCTTTCAGTGTCAACACCACTGCTACCGCCAGGTCCAAGCATTCATTGCGCACTGGTACTCTGGCACGCAAGCCTCGTCAACCAAACCCGCCTATTCAACGCCCGCCGTACGATTCCTCGTGATTTTCTACCTCCCCTCTCCTCCCCCGTCTTGCTCATGCAGCACCGTGCTTATAATCTGTTCGCATTCAATAACGGCTTACGTACTGCAGGATGGGGTTCAACAGTTGGAATGGGTTTGTTTGCGCTGATCAACCGCTGTGCCTTACTGGACCCCGACGACCCCAGCTGCTTCGCTTGGATCCGTGCGCCACCTTACCTCTTACCTTTTTTTTCCGCTCCACACCAACATTGCTGCGCAGGTACCATTGCAACATTGACGAAAACATTGTGAAGAGCATGGCAACAGCCATGCTCAACAACGGCATGGCTAATGCTGGCTACAGCTATGTGCGTTGGTATCGCCTGCTGGAAAGCGATGCGTGATTAGCCAGCTCAATCGAGGACGGGGGGTTTATTAGGAAACACAGACGGATAAAATAGATTATATCGTATCGCGGCTTGCAGCTGTATCTCACTCAAGTCGTCTTTGCTTCATCGACTGGCTAGGTAAACATTGATGACTGCTGGCAGGTGGCACGCGAGTTTGATAACCAAAGCATTGTTGCCGACCCGGTGCGCTTCCCCTCGGGAATGGCCCAGCTGGCGGAGGACATCCATGCCATGGGCATGAAGTTTGGCGTGTAAGCACTGCTTGGCCTGCTTTCTCTGCTCCTTGAGGGCCCGATTCGTGTGCGATTGGTTTGTTCACAAAGTGAAGACGAACATTTCAGACCTTGGGTGATGACCTCCCGTTTCTCCCTTTCTTTTGACTCGCAGTTACACGGCACGCGGGTCTGGGACCTGCCAGGGGCGCCCTGGTAGTCTGAACCATGAAGTGATTGATGCTCAAACATATTGCGACTGGGACCTCGACTACATCAAGGTTTGCTCATGTTGACCCCGATCGCGACTTGCACCCTTTGGATTCTCGGGGTCTTGTTTTGACGTCCAGGCATTGTCCTAGATTGATGCTTGTCATGGTGCCGAAGATGAAAACACGAGCTGGACTCGGTTCCATGACACGTTGGCCGAATGCTACGCGCAAACAGGCCAATATGTTGTCATGAGCGTGGAGTCTTGCTCAGACCCCTCGGTACGGTCTACTGACTTGTCTTTGACACTTGCCGGCCTGATACACCCGTCCACCGCTTGTCAAGAAGGACGTCTCTTGGATTGACGATCAACATGACTAGGGTTGTGGTGAGTGGGTTGCGTCCAAGGCCAACCTCTGGCGCACGCACGGCGATATCCAAGCCAACTTTGGTAGTGTACTGGCCAACATCTATGCCAACGATGTCATGGCCAGCGTTGCCAAGCCTGGTCACTTCAATGACCCCGGTAAGAGCTTGCTCGTGCTCTCCCCACATCAATTTCATTGGGTCCATTCTGATGCCGCGTTGGTGCTTGTCTCACGGCTTTGTATAAACTGTCATTCCTCGGCAGACATGCTGCAAGTGGGCAACCCCGGTCTCAGTGACGATGAAGGCTTGACCCACTTTGCTCTCTGGTGGGTTTTGAGCCCAATGATGCCTCCACGCACGTCCCGCTCTCTTCTACGCCTGGTTATCTGCGACGGCTCGGCCAGTCACACTCTGTGTAATGTCCCCGCAATGTCCCGTTTCTCCAATCAGGTGCATTGCTTCAGCCCCGCTGCTTGCAGGCACAGATCTGATTCATGCCAGCAACACCACACTAGCCATTCTGACGGCCCCGGAGCTGATTGCCGTCAACCAGGACCTTGGGTACAACAATCAAATCCAGGGGCGCAACGTCAAGCTGAGCGGCATGTCAGACGATACGGTGTCGTTCTGGGTTAAGCGCCTTGCCAGCGGAGACTACGCGATTGTCGTGGTCAACGAAGGCAGCGCTCCTGCTTCGAATGTGAAAATTCCGGTGTGTGATCACTTCAACAACCGTTTTGCATCAACCCAGCCTGGCTCGTTATCCATTGCTTTTCAAACGACACCTCAATCACCGTCACGCTTGTATGGGTTTGCTCCACAGTTTACTGATTTGGGGCTTTCCGCTGGCCCTTATGCGCTGCGGGACCTTTGGCGCCAAACAGATGTGGGCCAGTTTTCAGACTCCTACACCATTGCCAGCATCAACTCCCACGCCAGCTTCTCCTTCAAGCTAACCAGCGCCAATTGATTGGCATGTGAATCTGCGATCTGAACACAAGTTGGGGAATGCAAGGACTAGAGTGTGTGCGATCCTTTGAACCATTCCATCGCCCATCTCTTGAGCAAAGCGCACTATTTGCTCCATTGGTCGCGATTGATTGGGTGCAAGCAAGAAGTGCAATTGACAGCTCATTCCCGCAAGGCATGTCGATGAATAACCAATGCTCAAAGTTTTTGACTCAACTTCTTCTTGAGTGTGGTCGCCTGTTTTTGGCAACAGGAAAATCAGAAAATTCACGGAAGACTCGCAGCTCTTAAACAAGACAAAACAAATTTAGAAAATAACACAATCCAACCAACGCATGGCAGTCAGCCGAAAATTTCGGAAGAGAGAGAGAGCGAGAGAGAGCAGAAACAAGACAAAACGAAACAGAAAGGTGCCGAGCCAAAAGAACGGGAAGGACCACATCCCTCATGCCCCGACGACCAGCTCTAACAGTAGCTTGCCTAATATGGAAAAAGAGCTAAGGAGAGGCAGAGATGACCAAGACTCTTATTGGCGGGGCGACGGGGCTGGTCCACCACCTTGCTTTCTGGGCGAAAGTTGCTGTTCTGCATGTTGCCGTTGCTGCTCCTTCTTATGTTGTGCGACAGCGGCGGCCAAGCGCTCCTCGGCGCCTTCTTCGATATCCTTCTGTGCTTCAAGAGGGAGCCGAGCTGATGCCACCTCAAAACGGGCCAGCTCAGCCGCATGATCCAACACGACTGGTGGCGGGTTGGCACGGTCATCCTCGCCGTCCAAATGCGCACCAAGTCCGCTGTAGCTGGCCCCGCGAGAGGTGGAGACCACAATCAACTCCTCAGGACGCGGACCTTGACGACGGCGCTCACTTCGGTGCCGGCGGAGCGATGAAGCTGTCGCTTGCTCTGTGGTGCGCCATGGTGAGCTCTTGGCCTCTTCCTGCAGCTGAAGCTCCAGCTCCAGGCGTCGGACGGCCCGTTCGTCATCGGCGGCCTGAGCCTCAACCAACCGCTGGCGCACGGCCTGCTCGTGCTCCAAAACTTGCTTCATGCGGCTTTGCCTGGCCGCCTCGACCGCTGCAGCAACCGGGTCCCGTACCAAAAGAGGTTCCACTGCGGGTGCATGCGACCAAGCAAACGTTAAAACCGTGCATGAGGCAGGACAGACAACACGGTCGATAGCAGCTGACAATGGCGCGGATGGCGAGGCATACGCGGTGCGGTATCAGCGAGGGTGCGCGGCAGTCCCTTGGTGCGGGGAAAGCCCAACGCATCGGGAGGAAGTCGCCCTTGCAACGTGTCGTGAACCTAATGTAACCGGCAAAAAAGTCCAATGATGATGCACCATACCCCGCGTCTGAGGACACATACCTGCGGAGGAGAATAGAGCGGATTTCATCGCCGCATCACTGCTGAAGAAGCCACACTGACCTGATACATTTCCAGCATGGTCAGGGACACAAGATCTCGATCAACATCTTGCACAGCGCCGCTCAGAGCCAGCTTGAATTGCCGTTGGAGCTACAGTGCATCGGGGACGACGGACGTGAGCGGCGACAATCAATCGGCCGCAGCACGAGTTAAGAGAAGAAAAGAGCAACAGACCGTTTCGAGGGCAAACACCAGCTGCTCGGCCAGTCGCTCGTTGCTCGCCTTGAGCTGCCCATGTTGCAGCTGCATCGTATTGATGCCACCGGAAAAAACAAGATACAAGCAAGCAAGAATCATTCCAGAATGTGAGATACCGCCAGCTCGATCAAAATTTGGAAATGCAGCATGAGCTTGGCTCGCGGCAAACAGCAGAGTTTCTCGTGCACCTTGTAAAATGCCGCGGCTTCAATCGGGTCTTTAGGGGCTGGCGGCTCCACCGAAGCCAAACGGGCCTTAAGAAGGAAATAAAGCGAGATGAGGGCGTGGAGCATCAAATGGGATGGGCGTGTCAGTGATAGCAAAGCTGACCGGCGAATTTTCTTCCTGAGTATGAGGCAGGACGTAGTCAACCAATTCCTGGGCACTGCACAATGCCAAACGCAAGAAGCGACGGTAAGCCAGACGGAAGCCGGACGCGCAAGCTCGTGCGGCTGCTAGAGCGGTCCTCATACCGGTGTGCTGCATAAGCAAAAACACCCATGACACTGAGACCGGGACCTTCGCGTGCAGCACTATTGCGCATCTCCGCCGGTGCCGATTTAGGATCATACTCCCAGCCCCAGGGTTCAGGAAATTGCTGCGTACAACGAGCAGATGAAGAGCTGAATGAGCATATGCAACAGCCCAAATGTGCAACAAAACAGCTGGAGCGTTGTGCTTGGTGTGAACGGCCACCACGGAGGCCAGTTGCAAAGGACGCATTGGCTCACCTTGGGGGAGCGGAGATGAAGAGCCTTTTGAACCAAAGACTGTACGTCGGGTACACGGGGAAAGCGCATGAGCAGTGTCAGGCATTCGGTGTAATCGTGGGTCAAGACGTAGTCCTTAATGTATGTCAGCATGGCCACGCAAAGGTAGTCGATCAGCTCAAGGTTTTGATTGACCGCAAAGAGTGCATCCCAAATGATCATTGTATCAGCCAAGGAGAACTCGCGCGAGAGGAGCAACCGAATCCATCGTCTAGAACAACAACGCACGCAAGCATTGAGACAGAAAACATGCAGGTCTTCGGCGCCGGCACGATTGGCGGAGATGCTGGTGCGAGGCATATGAGTGTCTGTTACACGTGGCATCGCAGTTCGGCTGACGTACAAGCCGTAAATCTGGGGTGGAATGTCAAGTTTGCGAAGCTTCTGCAGCAGAGTAGGCTCGGCCTTGCCAAGCAAGCCGTACTGAATCCTGGAGGTATCCCAAAACCAAGTCGTAAGCAACCACAACGTGCAAACAAGCACCACCCAGGGCCATGTGGCGAGCGACTGAGCAACCAGGTATTCAAGCTATAGAAGCCTGAGGTTGGACGGCGCAGAGGGTACAGCAACCGAAAGGCACCGACCAATTGAGTTTATCCTGGAGAGGTGAGGGGTCCTCGTCCAGCTCGGCTTGATTTTGTTCCTCTTGACGCACGCGAGCTTTGGTCACAAAGGGGGTAGCAAACGGGTCAAAGCGTAGTTGCTGAGGAGAGATGACGGCAGCACCCCAAAAAGGCGTGAGAAAATGGCAATTCTGATCAGGGAGGCAGGAACGATAGGTGTTTGCGTGGCGGGCAAACTGACCGTGTTGGTCTGCCGGTGGTGGGCTTCAGGCCGACGGTACTGGTCGCTGAAGAAGAAAGGCTTCATGTCGATCATCAAGTGCTCAAAGAGGTCATAAGTATCCTCCTCAATAAAGGTTGGATCCAGAACCAGCCGGAGTTGGGCCCTGAACAAAAGCCAAGACGCAGGACAAAAGAGGCGCATAAAGACGGTGAGTGGCAGCGGTTTGGACGGCAACCGAGGGCGGGGCTAGATACCCACTTGATGTCGGGATTGCAGTCTGGTAACTCCAAATCGGGATGCTGGTGTACCACAGCTGCCTCCTTGGCCAGTACCAAGAGAAGGGCCGCCAGGAGCTCATGCATGCCTTGTCGATAGCTGACATCGCTGTTCAGCTTGGAATAGGTGAAGAGCATGCGGATCATAAGCTCTTGAATCTCAGGATCCTCGAAAAAGTGTTCCTCCGGAAATGTTCGAGTCACGTCCTGTCAAGCAGGCGCAGCAGGCAAGTTGAGAAAATCGAGGCTTGCAGCACTTTGCTTTTCAAGCCAAACATGGGAGGGTAGAAACGAGAGCCCAGGGCTCACGTACACGACGTATGACGTCACGAAGCTCCAAGTCTTCAAAGTAGGTGGACCAGGCACTGGCAGATTCTTCGGTGAGCGGGTGATGCATGTTGGGCGGCAGGTCTCGCTGTGCGGCACCGCGCGGGTCGCTGGCGGCGCTGGCAGCCTTTTCGTGATAGCTGCGACGCGCGTCTTTGAGCCTTTTGGCCCAGGCCGTCTGGTCCTCAGGCAGAGCACCAAGGAAGAGACGCCACGATACAGAGCGAAAAGGGCGATCTCGCAGTACTGTAGCCATGCCCTGTGAGACCCAGCATGTGAACCTGAAGTAAGCCCAGCAGGTGCAAAAGCACAGCTCACAAAAGCTCAAATAGCGTACAAGGGGCTTGCGCCAGGCTGCGGTCCGGCACTGGTGGGAGGCCGAGCAAGCATTTTGACCCACCTCATTCCGCAAGCAGCCGAGATAATCTGGGCGCAGGAACATATCCGCCCAGACGTCCTGCAGGCGAGGTCGTGGTGGGGGTGATGGGTTCTCTTGAAGCTAAATTAAGAGCAGGTATGGTTGTTATTGTTAGCCCCGATATAGGATGCGAAAGAGGCTTGGGAAACGTAGATATGGGACCATGCGCACCTGGGCGGTACGACCAGGCTGCTGCGTGACTGTGGATGGGTGTTGCTGCAGGAGCACACGACGGCAGGTTTTGCCAGCTTAATGAGGGCTGGAAGCATCAGAACAACTCTGCACTCTGAAGGTGTAAACTGACTTGAGAGTGAGCGGGATGGGCGGCGGCTTCACGCTCCTCCGGCGACGACAAGCCGGTGGCATCCAATACCTATCGTTCATTCAGCGGAAGCATCGAGGAAGATTATTCTGTTTTAGGAATACATGCATCGAGGACAAAAACAAAGGGGGAAAGAAAGAAAATAGAAAAGATGTGCACGAGGATAGCGAGTCTGCGCGAGGGGAGCGCGGCAGGCAGAGAAGCACGTCTTGCGCTTTGCGTCTTGCTATGCAAGCCGAACCTGATCTGGCACATGAAGGCGGGCACGCAGGCGCTCGTAGACTTGCGAAAGACGATGTCGCTCCTCCGGCAAGATATCAACGTGTTCCTTTGATATTTGCGCGGCTAGGTCCTTAAGTTGAGCCAGGTCAGTGCATGCAGTCAACTGAGCGACCAGTACATCCAGGTGAAAGCCGTCGGTAGCGCCGTCAGCACCATGGCCTGACTCGGCTGCCGGCAGTGGCGAGTGCTCGCCCGAAGGGCCTTGCGCGTCCTCAGCCTCGACCTGAATATAGTCATCTGCAATGGTATCGACAGTGGATGAGGACAAGGAGGTTGCCGTTGCGTCAGGGTCGCCCATAATGTCCATGGCGCTGCTTTGAGGCTCCTCCTCGCCGGCATCTGCGCGGTCTGCAGCGTCTCCTGCTTCGCTGGCGGCTAACGGCTCGTCGTAAGGCAGCTCTAGAGATGCAACGAAGGCCACCAAAGCCATGTGCGGTCATTTTGAGGCTAATTGCGTCTTGGTTTTGGGTGCCGATCAGCAGCTCGCTTACCGTCATCGACCGCAGCCGCGTCATCATGCGGGTCTGGCTCAGCCATGATATAATGTGTTCGCGAGCACGAGCACTTCAAGCGTCCGTGCGCGCTGCTAAGCAAAAACAAAAACCGCCGCTCCGCACAACAACCAAACAAATCAAGCCCAAGACTGAGTAGCCCACTGCCCGATTCGCCTGACAGCGCTGAGGGCCAAGAACTCCCCCCCCTCGCTTCCCCTTCTTCACAGCGCCAGAAGGAAGCCCAGTCAGTAGCAGTGATGCGTTCGTCTTGTTTGAGCGGGACGAGCAACTCCAAGCTTGTTGTTGCTGTTACTGTTACTGTTACTGTTGTTGTTGTTGTTGCTGACGCCTCCTCCTTTGGTGTAGTGGTGAGTAGCTGTAATTATTGTCGTCACATGTTGAGAACTTGCAGTATATCTCAAAGCATTGCTGTGTTTTGCGTTGAGGTGGTGTATGGATTTTGAAGAAGGTATGGAAGTTGTTGTAGGATATAAAGCAGTTGGTGTGTTGTTGACGTTGACAGCTTGTTCAAAACAAAAGGCAATTTGAGGAGCACAATTGGCTCCAATTAGCGCAGGCATGGCTCTGGTGGTTTGCTTTGGCTTGAAATGGCTCTTTACGGTCCACATGATTCAAGGGGGCCATGCGCTCTGCGTTCAGTTTTGACAACTTACGTTAAATGCGAGATTCATCAGTCGTGGAGAAGCAAAGAACGGAAAAGCAAAAAGCTAACGTCAATTTGATGAAGCTAAAAAACCAGCCAAGACCGATTCGAGCCCAAGGGTGCTTGTTGATAGAAAAGACAACAAGGGAACAAGCACCTAAAAGATAACCGAGCATTGCCAAGTGTGGCGAGCGCACGTCTAAGCCTCGTCCTCCTCGCCGGCAAGGATGCGGCGGAAGGAGAAGGGGGCAAACTTGATGCCTGTGCCTTCGTAAAACTTGTTCTGGAACTCGACCCAATGGAGACGGAGGGCGTGCAGGAAGGCCGAGAGACCCTCCATGATGAGCAGGACGGCAATGGTCAGAGCAGCCCAGGCGGCAAAGGTCAAGTAAAGCATCCACCAGCTGCTAAAGCCGGTCTGGAGGACCATCTCCCAGAGCACATCTGACAGCTGAGCGTGAGCCAGGGACAGAGCCCAGAGACGAAGGTAAGAGGCCGTGTTGGAAATGCAACCCAGGCAAAACTCAATGGTGTGAATGGCCTGGTGCACCATGATGGCACCAAAGGAATGGTCCTCATCGCCGTGAGCCACGGGACCGTTGATCTCGGCATCCTTGACATTCTCATCGTCATGGGGCATCTCGTGGGCGCCAATACCACGCTCAGCGGCGCGTTTCATACGAGCGCGCAGAATGCAGGGGCGCACAAAAAGCATCCAGGGCACGCAAACAACGGCCACCACAACCAAGATCATCTGGGTGTATTGCTGAGTGCTGCCGTCAGCGGCACCGTAGAGCACCTCACCATCATCCGGAGGAGCACCAAACTGCAGGAACATGTTGATGAGCATGAGCAGCAGGCTGGGGGGGTTCTTGTTGGGGAAGTCCTGGATGGGGGTCGTCCACTTGTAGAAGATCATGATGACGAGGTAGCCGAAGATGCAGGTCAAGAAAAGAACTTGCGGGATAAACTCGTGGAAGACACGCAGAGGCTTGCGAAAGAAGCGGTGGTTGGCCAAGCTGAGAATGACACCAAACAGCATCTGACCAATACCGAGAATAACGGACAGCTTCATCTTGTACGAGTTGGTGAAAGTCAGCTTGTTCTCCGTCACTTGCCAAATCTACAAACACAAAAAGTTTTGATTTCCGTGAGCAAAAGATCATATCATTTTTAAAGGGGAAAAAAAAACCACACGAGGGGTGGACATGGCTGTGGACGTGGGTGTGGAACGAGAGATCAGAAGAGAGCCGTCAAACAATCTTACCGGGTCAATACCAAAGACGTAGGGGTAGCGGAAGTCATTGTCCGAGGTGGCATCTGGGGCCAGCAGGTCAATCTCAATGCTGTGGTCGTTGAAATAGGCCTGTGCCTGGGCATCAGGCACCTTCCAGCCACTGCCGCCGAGTGTGATGGACTTGGAGAAGATGTCATTGTAAATAAAGCCAGTGTAGATGGAAAACAGACCCATGAGGAAGATGATGTAACGGCCACCGTACATGGTGTCCCAAATTTCACCGCCGTCAAAGCTGGCCAGCTTCTTCTCCTTGTAAATCAGGAAGAAGGCAATGAGGGCCATGATGGTACCATGACCAAAGTCACCAAACATGACGGCAAAAAGGAAGGGAAAGGTAATGATGGTAAAGGGGGTGGGGTTGACCTCACGGTACGAGGCAATACCGTAGGCGTCAACGATGCTCTGGAAGCCGCTCGTAAACTTGTTGGTGGCAAAGTAGGTAGGGGGTTGCTCGTGGGTGGGGATGTCGCTGAGCACGGTGGGAACGTCTGTGGCAGAACGCTCGGCACCGCGGCGCAGGGCCTCCTTGATCTCGCCCTGAGAGGCAGCCGGATACCAGCACTCGGCCACCAGACAGTTGCGCGCCACATCAATGTCAAACTTGTTCATTGTGTGGTAAATGGACTTGATCTTGGTCACCTTGACAAGCCAGGCACCGAGCTTGAAGGCGGAGCGGGCCAGGACCTGGCGGCGATGCTCAGCCGTGCGGTGCAGGACACTCTGCAGGTCTTCGATGCGAGTCTTGACCTTGATGTCAAGTTCGCGGCGTTGAGCCGCCGTGTCTGGGCAGGGATAGATGGTGGCATCGTAACCTTCGCAAATCTTGCGGACGCGAGCACCGAGCTCACCACCCTGAAAGAAGACGATAAAGACCTTCTTGTGGACCTCCTCGCCCGAGACGGGATCGACGACGGCCTCGGAAATGTCCACCTCGCGCAAAAAGACGTTACCGCGGCAGGCACGCCACAAGAGGCGCTCAAAGCCGGGCAGCTTTTCACGGGCAATGACACCGGTCACAAAGCCCAGCTGGCCAGAGCGATCCTCCTCGGCGGAGAGGAGGGGAGTGGCAGCAGAGCTGGCTGAGCCATCGGCGGTGCGAACGGTACCGCCCGCAGCTTCAGCTTCATCAAAGAACACGGCCGTCTTGCTCAGGATGGCCGAGAGCTCGGTGAGCTCGAGCTCTTGCTTGCGGAGCGTCTGCTCGTTACCGTTGATCTCGCGCATTTCGCGCTCAAGTTGCTCAAACTCGGCCTCCATACTTTGCATCTCCTTGACATCGGGAGCAGCCGAGGTAGCAGCGGCGGCGGCTCCGCTGACCTGCATGCCGGCCTTTTCGACCTCAGCCTCGAAGAAGCGCAGCTTGCGCTCCATCTCATCGCAGCGGCGCACCTCGTTGACGTACTTGCGCTGGAAAGCATTGACATCAGGATTCAACTACAAGTCGCAAAAGCAACAAGAAAGCAAAACAGCGAAACAGGAGAAATGTCAGGGCGGTCCAATGGAATGCAACGCACAACGGCTCCGCGCTAAACGAAAAGACGAGGAAAAGGAACATACGTCGCGAAATTGAACCAGACCCTGAAGTGATGGACGGAGCAGGCCAGAACCGGCACGGTGACGTGAGTGATCAAGAAGAAACACACGCAAGGAGCAGGGAGAGAGAAGAAAGAAGCCAGAAAGAGAAGGTGTGTGTTGTGACCCGTCTGCAACTCTCTGGTCTGTGGCAGCTCGTGACAAGGATGCAAGGCACCATGTGCCGAGGTCCCTCGCTGGCTGGTTGGAGATGCAATTCAACGTACCAGTTCGCCAAGCGCGCTGACCGTCTCGTAGACGGCATCTGACTGGACGATGAGCTGCGCCAGGCGCATCTCTTGCGAGCGCCACAAGGAACCCATTTTGGCGTTTATCAACCAACACGGTCCCCTCGAACAAGATACGGGGCTGCCGTTTCAAAGAGCAGCGGCCACAAAAAGATGACTTTGTGGTTTGCTGCGTCCAAGGCAAATGCACGTTTTCAGCTTCGCGCACACGTTGTTCCCTTTTGAGTTCTTGCAGTCTTTTGAATGGCGTGTGTGTGTGTGGAGTTGGAGCGAGAGAGAGAGAGAGGGTGTGTGTTGGAGGGAGGGGTCACCACAATGAATGTTGCTTCATAAATCGCTTTTCGGCAATTCAAAACTTTCAGCTCAAGACCACTGCTGACAACAGATGTTCACGACAAATGGAACAGGCGATGTCAGACAAAAATGTACCCGTGATCAAGCGTTACCGCACATACGCCGTTTTGCTCTAAATATAGAGAGTATCGGCACATGTAGCACGGCAGTCTTGGCGATGTTCCTCATGCTTGCACGCGCACACGGTTTGCCCTGTAGTAAATGGCAGCCCGACGAGGCATGTGGGGGGAAGACCTGAGACTGGGCAGTCCAGTTGCATTTTCTTCTTTGGCCATCTCACGTTTGGTTTGTGGTGCGGCTACCCCTGCCGACCGTGACTTTCCCCGCAACCGAATCGTCGCCGCGACGCTCTCGCTTGCACACTTGTCACAAAAAGAAAAGCCTCCATTCAAAGAGAGAGAGTGTGTGTGTGTGTGCGCTGGAGCCATTTTGCTCACTGACCAATCCAAACGACGTGCTTGCTGAACTGACAGGATCTTTTTGAACGTTTCCGGGGCTGGCTTGGCACAGGTGAGTGACGGTGAGGGGTGGGTCATATAGCATGAGAAAGGGGGCTCGTGCGGTGTGGTCTTTCCATTTCCATTGGTTGTGTCGCGGCTCAATCGCAGTGGGCTCATTTTGCATCTGCTTGTAGAGGAGAGGAGAGGACATCACTTTTGAGGCAATTGCCGTGTTTTGCCGCCGTCTTGGCAAACCAGTGTGCAGCGTCAACAGCTCTAGCCACTTGAGCCGCTTTTGAAACCACCAATCATGCTTTGGTTTGCCGTTCACGTTTTGCTGTGGCTTGAGCTTGCTCTTTGCTTGCTCTGCTGCATTCCGGGCGCTCGCTGGCGTCGCGCCATCCGCTGGTTCATTGATCTACCCTTCGTGCATGTTACAACCAAGGTACTCTTTAACTCTTCTCTCCTCTCACCAGCACTTGGTCGTTGGGCCATGGTCTGCCTTCTTCTTGTTGCCCCGGCCCTTGCTTCTTGGTCTGGATTCTAATGCCTCACGGATGGAACATTGGGTGGTACCTTGTAGGGATTGCCATACCTCGTCGTCATCCTGATGGCGCTGCTCGTCCAATCCATCTACATCCAAGTTAACGCCCGTCAACACGGTCTGTCTGTTTATCCCTGCACTCACCCGGGCTCTGCCCCAGCCATGCTCATCAAAACGGTGGTACCTGTTCTTGCTGTGGACTATTGGGCCTGCAGGTGAGGAGGCTCGCGTGATGGCTGGTCAGAGCACAACCATTACGCTCTACGAAGCCAACATGTACCGGGCCCAGCGCAACACGTACATGGCCGCCATCGCCCTCCTCGGCATGCTCATGCTACGAGAAATCATTCAGTGCGTTACCCCGCCCCGTCCGCACCCACCCACACACATACACTTTTGGGCTCAACTGAAAAGCAAGGTGCTCACTTGCATGTCCGTGCCCCTTCTTCATCGCACCGCCAGCTTTGTACGTCGCTGCGTCGAGTATGAAGATGAAATTGCGCGCCTCAAATCGGAGATGGAGTGGTCCGATGGCGCTGTGCAAGATGAGAAGCATTTTTCCGAGGCCCGCAAGCAAGCCGCCGCTGAAAAGCTGCACAGTGCCAAGGAGGACATCAAGGCTAGTGCTAAACACGCTGCGCGCGAGGTGAAGCAAGCCGTGGACCAGCTCCAAAGCGACAAGAAGCAAGATTAATCCCCTTGACCAGCGTACACGTCCCACCAACGCTTCAGCACCCTTTTCGAGTCAATTGATAAGTATAAAGAAAAAGAAAACATCATTTTCAGCACCTCTGGAATTCTGTGCACTTTCCTCGTGCCAGGCAATAAACTGTCGTCTCCATTGTTCCAATATTCAAGCCAAGAGCGTCTCAGAGTCAATCGAGTGACGCATTTCCTCATCAATGTCGACCGAGATGAAATAACCAAGGGGAAAGATGGCACATCCTCCACGAGCTCGTTGAAGGAAGGGCGGTGGTTCGGTTTGGATCTTGGGTACCATGACATTCGACTAGCGATCAGAGGCCCCCCAATCCTCCACACGGATGTTGCGCGTGCCCGGCACTCGAGCTCGGCGTTGACGGGCCACTTGCCGGTCTGTCCATGACAGGGGCCGCATTGACGCGCGCTGCCAACGCTCTTCTTCCGCCATTTGCCTTTTGAAGGTGGAAGGGGAACGATGAGGGTGAGCGGTTCATCCGTGGGCTGGTATGAGGTTCGCTATGGTTCAAGTGCTCAAGACCGCAAAAATCGCGCCTACGCCATTGAGTTGAGCGGAGCAGAGAGAAAACTCACTTGTCGTATTGAAAAAAGCGGGTCACTTGTTGGGCCATGCCGTCCAGGTTCCGATTGAGACGGTCGCAATGGTCCCTTGTTCGATCCAAGCGCTCGGACAACTCATGCTCGCGCATTTTGCTCGTCGTGATTTGATGATGCAGCGTGGATGCGTCCGTTTGTGTGTCCTTCATTGAGGTTTGCAAACAAGAAGGATCATCAACGCGCAGAGCAAAAGCAAGGCAAGGCATAGTCGGCCCAACCTGCCGACCACCCATGAATGAAGCCGCGGGCATACCTTGGCAAAGAGCAGCAGGTCCTTATTTTCCTCGCGTAGACGAACCACCTCGTCGCGTAATTGCAAGTTTTCATTCATCAGCTGTTGATTGCGACGGAGCAGGGTCTGGGGGTCGTGCATGGCCACGGAGGCGCTCAGAACGCGTGTGCCGTCTGCATCTTGCCTACACCGCAAAGTCAAAGCCAGGCCCCACGCACATGTACGGAGAGATATGATGGCTTGAGTGGAGAAGGGAATGGGAGGGAGGAATGGAGAGAACAAGGCACGAGAAAGCACCGCACGTACGTGAAGAGGCTGTTGTGTGACAGGGCAGCGCGAGAGGGCGGGGTCAGAAGCGTGCGTTGCAGGCCTCGCGTGCTGCTGGTCATGCGGGTTTGTTGTTTTTGCTGTTGCTCTAGTCGTGCCACTTGCACCTGCAGCTGGTCTCTCTCAGCCTCAACTGTGACAGCAGTGCAGTCCGAGCATGCCATTGCAAAAGTGAGCAAAAAGAGGGAGTGTCGCCAAGGCATGGTCCAAGTGCGGTGGGCATGGCACTCACATGCATCACGTTCGAGCTGGATTTGTTCGAGCAAGCCCTCCAGCTCTCCGCTGAGCTTGGCATTGTCGGTGCGAAGCTGCTGAACTTCCTCGTTCAACAGCCGCAGGACGACCGAGGTTGGCGCCCCGGCGCCCGATGGTGCCCGCTGCGCCAGCGGTGACGATGGTGTCGACATGCTCTCACTCAGCATCCGTATGTAGGAAGCAGCACAAGAATTTGCGCCAAGCGATTGCCCAGCAGCCCGCTCAACCCGCTCACTTCAAGCATCCAATACAGGCCTATGCGATACAAGGCCATGAGTGAACGTGACCGTCGACAACAGCCCATGTGCTGACCCAGTCTCACTTTTGGAACCGCACCCATGCCACTTCCCGTGACCACCAAAGGCCCCAAGAGCTAGATCATACCTAACTCGACCCCGGTCGAACACACCACCAATATCCCAACTGCTGTTTGGCCGAGGCGACAACGGGGGGAACGAGAGGGGAGGGGCGGTCAATCGGTCAATCGGTCAATCGGTCAGTCGGGGTGTGAAAACAGGGGGCGGCTTATGTTTGCTGGTCTGCTTGACGACCCCCAACCCCCGACGGTTTAAGTAAAATACTATTACATGGACTTGATAGGACATTGCGCAAAAGGGAAAGTAGGTATTTTACGCTTATGCTGCAACAACAAACGGTGGATTTGGCTTGTGGAGTATGGGTAATATACTTTTGACTTCTGCATCACAACGACGTCAAATGTTGTTGGAACTGCAATTGCTTCTGCAAGTGACGCAGGTTATGGTTATTGCAGTTAAATTTCTACTTTGAGTTGAAGGTAAATGCCATTGCGCCTTACTCTGATGATACTTTATGCAGCAGTTTTCTTCATAAACGTCGATCGACAGCCGCCTGCTCCTCACGCCTCCGCTCGACTCGACTCAGCACGGCCGCGGGCCCTTCGACGAGACGGCCTTCAACACCGGCCTTGTTTCCAACACTGGCCCTTGTCGAGCCTTTGAATTACATCGGATATATATTTTTCGCACGCCTTGACTGTCTCGAACCCAGAGGGCAGTCGCTTTCAGTAGAAACGCTTTTTTGGTTTTGGTCACGTGAGCATCGCCTGGCTGTCTGACCCGAGTCATGAGCATGCTCGTGGGTCAACGTGTGGCTGGCGCCTTGCCTCGCGTCTCGACCATCACTGCCCGCGTCACTGTCACACGAGCCGTCAGTCTGCGGGCCTGCTCGGCCGCGGATATCGAGGCCTGGCAAGATCGACTGCAACAGATTCGCAACCAGCCAGCCCCGACCTGGCTGCGGGTACCTCACCGGGCCGTACTGGCCGTGCGAGGGCCTGAGGCCCTCACCTTCCTCCAAGGCCTCACTACCCAAGATCTCCTGCCCCAGGAGCCGGAGGAACCTTTTGAATTGGCTGAAGATGACGCAGACACGGCCGACACAGCCGCCGACAGCTCCACTGCTGCTGCCACTCACCCCACCAAACCCTTGCATACCATGTTCTTGCACGCCAAAGGCCGCATTCTCTGTGATGCACTAGCTTACCCCACATTGCCGACCGAACCCCGGGGCTTTTATTTCGAGGTGGACGCCGACATGCTTGCACCCTTGCACAAACACCTTCGCAGCTTTAAGCTTCGGACCAAAGTCTCCTTTGACGCCCTTGCCCCTGATGTGTACGTTTCTCAAGTTTCCTGGTGCTCGCGGACGCTTCCACACCATCACCCTAGTTGGCCAGTAAAATGTGACGTACTTACTCACGCCTCTTTGGGAACCGGTGTTTGGTACTTCGCCCTCGTTTGGTGCAGCGTACAAGTCCATGCCGCGGTCGGACAGGAGCTGCACCTCGACTCCGTTGCAGGACCGCCTACTTTTATTTGCCAAGACCCACGCATGCCTCCAAACAGGTGCAAAAAGGAGATTCCATGCTTTTTTTTTTTTTTTTTTTTTTTTTTTTTTTTTTTTTTTTTTTTTTTTTTTTTTTTTT